TATCAAGTTTCATAAAAATATTTTTAGTACTTTTTGCGTTATCGCGGGATCCAGTTTTGTGGACGGACGGACAGACGGACGGAAGTTCTAACAGGACAGTAATTATGTGGCTACTCTATTGTTCTCTCTATTGTTCTTTTTAGCCACACAAAAGAAAATAGCCACATAAAAGCATTAAGGAATGAATGACATCAAAGAGAAAGAACAGTTACCTATTGTCCCTCTAGCCACATAATTACTCTCCTGTGAGTGCGGACGGACACAGACGGACGGAGGGTTAACCTGAAGTCCCCTCCGGTTAAACCGGTAGGGGATTAATAAGCAAATAATTAAAAAATAACGGCAAATATACCCCTCTATACTATAAATAAACACAAGGAATGCAACGCCTTTTGCATTTAATCTAATTACACACATGGAAAATCAATGTCAACAAACTCAAGTTTAGCAATTTCGATACACAATACAAAATTATTCCTTTTACAACTGCTGATATTTTAAATCAATTTTTAGCATTGTATAATAATAAATTGGCAATATTTACTCAAATGTCAAAAAATAATTTTGTCTGGCACTCCATGCTCTGACGTCACAGACTATACTGCTACGGACGGAAGATAATTATTTATTTTTCCCCTAAAAATCTATTTTCAATTTTGAAAAAAACCAACTTATTTATTTGTTACGATCAGAAGATAGGCAACTTCCTAGCCAGTTAAAATATCATGCATGCCTACTAAACTTAAAACTTGTAGCAAGTAAAAACTTAATAACCAGATATCAAAATCAGTAAAATAATACATTTTCTGAAAGCTTATGCATTTGTCTATGGCTGTCGGTAAAAATATTTACAGTTCCCATTTAAATAAATTTTAATGTTACATCATTTTTTAAAAGAGAGCAACTTAATAATTTTTGTTACAAAACTATTCATAATGACAAAAAAACTGGCTCAGTAGGTATGTTCTGCCATGTTTTTCTAAGTGAAGGCATGGAAAGTTACCAATATTTTAACATGCAGCAATAGATAAAAGATTTAACTTTTCAAATGGTATATAATATTAAAGGATCAAATGTACATCCATTAAGTTTTATTGCTACATAATGCCTAATTTTTCACTTTTTGATAGGCATGAGTGATATTTCTATGGAGTATATAGGAGCTGCTTAAATATCTACTCCAAAACCGGAGAGACAGGACAATAAACGTGTGATATAATTCGCCGGTCTCTAGTAAAATCCCCGTCAAAATAGACCGGGAGAGACCGGGAATTACCGATAGGAAACAGAGAATAAAAATGGGGCGAATTGTTCATTGAGGCGAATCGTCATTACAGCGTATTGACCTTTTCGAAAAACCTAGCTAAACACCGTTTTCCGGTACGTTACGGATTTAGCTCTGGGGAATTACACCAAATGAAGTACATAACACAGTTACATGATATTTCTATTTTTCTATCATTATTTTACTGTTTAAGGTGAACAAAATTAATGTCTGAAAATTATCAATTTTCCTTGAATATCTATTACAATTTTTTCAAAAAAATAAATTGTTTATGATGAAAATCAATAAAATTTAAACAGACTGAGTGGAATCTTCATAATAAATAAGGTTATTTTCTGCGTAAACTTGTGTATCTACTTTATTTTCTGTATGGAATTATTCATACATTGATATTTAATTATCTTCTTATAAAGAAATAACTGTTTTATTTCAATTTAATTTAAAAAAGGCCGAAAACATCGAGTTCGCTATAACACTCCATTAGGTGAATTCCCCCAGAGCTATGTACAGAAAGTACCGGAAAACGGCGTTAAGCTAGGTTTTCGAATTCGTGAATTGTTAGAATGACAGATTGTTCTCTCCCTTACCAGTTCCTCCCACTGACGGTTCTCTCCCTAACCATTTCCTCCCCTGACGGTTCTCTCCCAAATTTGAAATCTGCAGACAGTTCTCCCCCATTTTTTCTATAAGTTATCATTTTAGTTTTTGACTTAATCTAATAATATTCTTAATGAAGATTATTAAAAGAATGTGTTTCATATTAACTGCATTTTATGTTTTTATGTTTATCAGCTGAAAAAAAGTTTTGTAAATTTAACACCTTTTTTTTCGGTATTTTAATCCTATCAACGCCTTCATTGTGAGGGACAGTGATTGGGAATGACAGACTATTCTCTCCCTTACCAGTTCCTCCCCCTAACGGTTCTCTCCCTAACCATTTCCTCCCCTGACGGTTCTCTCCCAAATTTGAAATATGCAGACAGTTCTCCCCCATTTTTTTTATAACTGATCAATTTAGTTTTGACTTACTGTAATCTAATAATACTTCTTAATGAAGATTATTAAATAGAGGATATTTGTTAAGTTCAGTGTAAGATCGGAATATATTTCACCGAGTGAGCACCAAAAGGTATATTTCACGAGTGGCGCAGCCACGAGTGAAATATGAACTTTTGGTGTTCACGAGGTGAAATATATTTCAATCTTACACTAAACTAAACAAATTTTCTTTTTATTACATGCTAAGAAACGTTTAAAAAGACATTTTATCTAAGTACTAAATGAAAAGCGCGCCATATTCTAATACAATGTGACGTCATTTAAGACGTCACGTCATTAAGCTGGTTTCCAGTACTGTGCACGCTGGTATTTCTCTGAGACAACGTAACGGGCTTAAATTCAAAACAGTGAAATTATCAACTTGATAATTTCACTGTTTCAAACAGTGAAATTACCAGTTTATAAATCACTGATATATTTCTATAATCCATCGAAAAGCATGTAATAAAAAGAATGTGTTTGATATTAAACTGCATTTTATGTTTTATGTTTATCAGCTGAAAAGTGTTTGTAAATTTAACACCTTTTTTCGGTATTTTAATCTATCAAACACCTTCATTGTGAGAGATATAGATTATTGGACAATAATTGGACACCTGTTATTATTTTTAAAGGTCTAGCTTGTAAATACTTATTCATCAATACCTTTTTCACAGCTATTTTAATCTAATCAAAAACTTGATTCTTTGAGTAATGAATTAATAAACACCATCAATTATCTTCTGACAGCAAACTTAACGCATGTGTGTATTGAACTCCTTTTTTCCCTTTTTTTCATTATACAAAAAAGTATGAATTTAGCAATTAAAATTCATTAATCATTTTTTGCTTATAAATTTTCATATTTCTTTATTAAAATAATAATAATAATATCTTATGATTATCCTTATCAAGTAAATTATTCATTAATTATTTTCAATGGAAAAACACACTAAAAAGTATACATTACATCTTATTTAAATCAAAAAGGGCTGCATCCTCTGTGGTATTTTCTGATCTTTTTGCAATCTAAATCATACTGACTATCTGGTATGTATTTTCCTATATAAGTTTATTTTTATATACTGATATAATTAATCTTACGCAGCGACTGCGTCTATAACAGTTTGAGATTTGATACATTATGGGAATTTTTTTGCATGACTTAGAGTTGCATCAAAAAAAATCATTTTCATTTTTATGACAGCCATAACTTTATCCTTTGCATATCGTGGCTACTTCCTTAAAAAAGACACTTTTCAAAAAAAAAAGTTGCCTCGACTAGGATTTGAACCTTGGGCCTCTCACACCCTAAACGAGCACGCTACCTCTTCTGCACCACGGTGAAGTAATACATATGTAGCTTGAATAATAACAAATACATTTGTAATATCTAAAATTGAGAATTTCCGTTTTCCCGTGTTTGTAATCCCTTACTAAATGTTCGAGGTATTTTTCTTCACTATAAACCTGTTGTTTAACACTGATGAAAAAATTTGTAGCGAAATAAATGCTTTCTCGCCAAAAACAGTATTGACATGTATACGAGTATGTACCACTACTCGGACAGTCAGCATTTATGTGTTACTAAAAGTAACGCTCTGGAGTATTCGGTAAGCGACATAGCTAAAAATAGCAATTTCATTGATTAAGCTTTACGGAAATAGCCGAACATTTTCTATTGGGTAAAAAAGATATTCATCCGCAAAATTTGTGATTGTAACCTCATATTTCTATTGACTACTCTTAACTTTTTAATGCACTGTAATTCGTTAAATGCATACATTAAAAATTATTCTTTATTTTAAATTGCTGGTTTTTTTAGCAGTTCTGAGTGAGAACTACTTTGCGTTGTTAGGTCTGTTAGGAAAATTTGTGTTAGACCGTGGATGTTAGCTATGTATTTACTGATCTTGCAATCAGAAAATACAAAAATCAGAATAATTAACTTATATGCTAAAAAAAGTTTTTCTAATTTAATTTATATCAATTGATAATAAGGTTACCAATTTTATTTAACATCTAAACACTTCAATAAAATCTTCTTTTTTTTCCCTAATTTATATCAATTAATAATAAACTTACCCATTTATTTATCATCTAAATACTTTAATAATAATGTAATAATAAAAATAAGAATGGGGAGGAACTGTCTGCTTATTTGCAAATATGCAGACGGTTCTGCCCCAAAATAGGGAGAGAACCGTCAAGGAGGAAACGTCAGGGGAGGAACTGGTAAGGGAGAGAATAGTCTGACTACCAGTGATTGGACACCTGTAATTATTGTAAGGTCTAGCTTCTTAATACTTATTCATCAACACCTTTTCACAGCTATTTTAATCTAATCAACACCTTGATTCTTGAGTAATGAATTAATAAACATCTCAATTATCACTGACAGCAAACTAATAATTAGCACATGTGTGTATAGAACTCCTTTTTTCATTATACAAAAGTATGAAATTTAGCAATTAAAATTCATTATCATTTTTTGCTAATAAATTTCAAATTAATTTATTAAAAAAAGAAAATAATAATAATATCTTATGATTATCCTAATCAAGTAAATTTTTCATTAATTATTTTCAATGACTAAACACATTAAAAAGTATACATTACATCTAATTAAAAAAATCTGAATAATTAAAAACAATGTTAAAAAGTTTTTCTTATTTAATTAAATGATTAAGCTAGACTTACCTGTAAGGTGAAGGTTAATCATGATTTCATCCACATAAAACTCACTAAGGGCTCACACAGAGAGAAGACGCAGCTATCAGCAGCCAGTGGTCATATTTTAGAGTAAGTAATGCCGATTAATATCGCAAAAATATCAGTTTAAACGGGGAGGTAGCGGGTTGGGTGTGTGAGCCCTTAGTGAGTTTTATGTGGATGAAATCATGATTAACCTTCACCTTACAGGTAAGTCTAGCTTAATCATTTAATTTCATCCTACATATAAACTCACTAATGGGCCCCACAGAGATTTTAGAGTCCTTTTTGCGATATTTTGGAAAGGACATTACGTGCCATCCAACGCCATAGTAAATATTTATCTTTCATGTTATTATGAAGAACAACGATTTAATTTCAAGACATAAAGGTCTTTATGATTCTGCAATTCGGTAAAAACACATGTTTTCATATTTTTCCAGAATATAAATGCCATGCACAACTATATAGAAAGTAATTAAATATAGCTATAATTATTATTATCACTACAGTTTTTTTTTTTTTTTTTTTTTTTTTCTCTCTTTTTTGTCCCATTATTATACACTCTAATTAGCAATATCTATGATAGCCTGCATAGATTTTCCATTGGTATTTGATACTGGTTTATCATAATATTTAGCGAATGTCTTAGCATTGCTCCATCCCGCTGATTCAATTATCGTCTGTAACGGGACTCCACGCATGTGTGTGATTGAAGACGCAGCAGCGCGCGTACTATGTGGTTTGAATGATTTATGCACCCCAGCTCTGTGCATAATTAGCTTAATCCAAATTGTTTGTTTTGAAACGGCCCCATGAGGCTTGACCGTTGATATCAGTAATTTATTGGTATTTCTGAGGTCTTTCGTTCTCTGTAAATACTCACTAATGACGCTGACAATACACAAGCGTTTATCTGATTTAAAACTGTCAAACAAAAAGGGTGTCTGATGCCGACCAGGTTTCGATGTTTTTAATAAATGTGAAGTGTTTATTATCAATCTTTCGTCTGAAATATTAATGTCTTCCAAACAAATGAGATGGAGTGTTTGACACCGCTGAGCTGACAACAATAAAAACAACATGCTTAATTTTCCAGCCAAAAATAATAGTGTATCATTTTCTGTTTTTGATAAAAAATCTAAAACTGTTCGCACATCCCATATCTCTTTATATCTCGGAAGTGCCGGCCTTGTGTTAAATACACCTTTCATGAACCGTGATATCAGGTTATTATTGCTGAGATCTACGTTTGAAGTTATCTTATCAAACTCACAAATTGCTGATCTGGCAATACCAATCGCACTGTAGGTTATCCCTTTTGAATATAGGTGAGACAAAAATGCTATCACTGTTGCTACAAGGGGTTTAAAGGGATCGTGTTTCCCTTCACAGAAATGAAACCATTGTTTAAGATATGTTTGATACTGTTTCCTGGTTGTTCTCCGCCACGAATTAATGATAATCTGCTGAGCTTCATTTGAAATCCCTCTATCTTCAAGCGCTTTCCTGATAAGGGAAAAAGCGCCAGCCTCATCTTTTTTAATGGGTGTTTCTTTCCCGGTCGATGGCACAACGTAAGGATGTCCTGAGGGTGCTGAAGTAGAAGGCATGGTGCAACAATAAGTTGTATTAATGTCGGCCACCATGTCTGTGCAGGCCATATTGGTGCTACTAAACACAGTAGATCTGTTTGATCTATTTCTACTTTTTGCAGGACCCTGCCTATTACACTGAAAGGTGGAAAACAATAATAACAATTATCATGCCATGAGAATGAAAAAGCGTCTATAGCAAAAGCATTTGGGTCAGGTTGTCTTGAAACATACGTCGGAACTTTGTTATTTAAGCATTTAAGCGAGATGCAAATAAATCTATATTTAAGGACGGGAAAGACCGACAAATTGCTGTGAACATCTCAGGTGATATACTCCATTCTAAATCTTCAATTCCAGTACGACTCAGTTTGTCTGCCGTGCGGTTCAATGACCCCGATACATGATGTGCTGACAACAAAATGTTTCTTTGAATACACCAATGCCAGATATCGCGCGCAATTTTATTCAATGAATCTATTCTTCCCCCGTAATTATTTATGTATGATACACTCGTAGTGTTATCCATATAAATTTTTATATAGATATTTATGTTGTGTTTAAAAAGCGACAATAGCCCAACTTGACACGCTTTTAATTCTAACACATTGATATGTTGATTTTGTTCTTCCGCCGACCAAAAACCATTTGTTCGTCTATTTTCTGTTTTATCATACGCGCCCCACATATGTCCCGAAGAATCAGTAAACATAATGTTATTCGGGTCAGGCGATGTAATACTTTTGAAACATGAATGTATATGAGTGATCCACCATCGCAAATTTCCCAAAATATCTGGTGTGATTGTAAAAAAAACTATTAAAATTACCCTTATTGTTTTCAGTTCCCTTTCCTTATGTAGTTCTAAAGGTTTTATGTATAACGGAGCATGCATAACCCCCGGTGATGCTGCAACCAGTTGAAAATTTTTGAATTGTTATTCGCCGGCATGTTATTATGTTATTGCAAAGCTCTGTGATATCATCACATTTTTCCTTTGTTAATATTATTGTCATTGTTTTTAGAGAACAGCACAAATCCCAAAATACAATCTTTTTCGACGGAACCAGGAACAGATTTACCCATTGAAATTGTAAATCCTAACTTGTCTAATAAATCAATTGTTTCGCTGATATTTCGAGCACAGGCGGAGTATGACTGACCTTGCAAACATGCGTCGTCGATGTAAATTGAACTTAAATGACCCCGCGCTCTTAAATGAGAAAAACTGGCTTCATCAGTTTAGTGAATATCATAGGGCTTTTTGCAAATCCCATCACAAGCGCTGTAAATTGATATTTTACACCTTCGAAAAAGAAACGAAAATACCGTCTGTCCGTTCGTATATAGGTTAGTGTAAAAAGCATCAGAAATGTCGACCTTGCCGAAATAACAATTTTTCCTCATTGCTGTGGTCACTGACCCCAAAGTTTCCATTTTAAAATGTATTTTGCTGACGTAGTTGCTATTGAAAGATTTTAAATTCAAAATAATTCTAATCCGTCCGTCTGATTTTGGTCTTGTGAATATATTCGAAATGTATTCTCCGTCCAAGTTTTCGTCTGCAAGTTCTATTATTCCTTGATTTAAAAACCGTGTAATTTCAAACTGTATTGCTTGTTTTTCGTTTTCTTTAAAATTAAATGGTTTTGGAATTTTATACTGAAAAGGAGTTGCTGACAGCTGTACCCGAGAACCGTCTACAGTTTCTAGTATCCATTTATCTTTGGTTATTTTTCTCCACTCATTCAACGCCATTCTGGTCTTCCCCGCCCGAAAATTCTGTGAAGTATTTATAATGGTAGAGGAATATTTCATATTATGATTACTTACTTCGGATATTAATTTTTCTGTGCTCTTGATTGGAAAGTATTCTTTTTCTGCTGTTTTGTTCTGTAATTGTGATTTTGACGTCGTCGCTGTAGATTGAAATTCATGTTGCCCTGTAAATTGAGCGCATGTTTCCGTTTGTGCTGAGGTACCAGGGTCGCCATGCCCTGGGTGACCCCAGATTCGGTGAAAAAATCTCCCACGCTTTCGTGATCTGAGCCTGAATCATCCCTCGTGCAAAAACGTTTCGAAGTTGATGTTTCTTCGCAGGTAACTGCAGTTCTTTTCAAAGAATTTACGTCAGACCTCATTTCAGTCAGAGAATCCGTTAAACCTTTTATTGCATTTTGGATGTCTTCTAACTGACTAGAAGATCCTGCAAGTGTCCCGAATTTTTCAAATATATTGGGAATATTGGACTGGTTGTTTCCGACCTCTTGATCGTCGGCCATGATCCTGAAAAATGTTTTTTAAACATTTCTAGCAGCAGTCCATTTAAGCAATAAAATGAAGAAGAAACATATATAAACGATTAGAATTTAATCGCAGTCAGGCGTAAATAACGCCGTCAAATAGATATCTACATAAATCATTAATTCGTCCCTCTGTGATATGCAAGACGCCTGATTTTTTTTTATTATTATTATTATTATTATTATTATTATGTATGTCATGTTGCATGAACACGCCCTATTGCAAACCAATATATAATTTGTCTGTAATGTTCAGACCATTTTAGCTTTTCCATGGTGTTTGGATAAGCATAATTACGAACAAATGTATCTTTTGTCTGTGGTGTTCAGACAGTTTTAGCTTTTCCATGGTGTTTGGATAAGCATAATTACGAACAAATGAGTCTTTTGTCTGTGGTGTTCAGACAGTTTTAGCTTTTCCATGGTGTTTGGATAAGCATGATTTCATTACGAACAAATGAGTCTTTTGTCTGTGGTGTTCAGACAGTTTTAGCTTTTCCATGGTGTTTGGATAAGCATGATTTCATTACGAACAAATGTATCTTTTGTCTGTGGTGTTCAGACAGTTTTAGCTTTTCCATGGTGTTTGGATAAGCATAATTACGAACAAATGTATCTTTTGTCTGTGGTGTTCAGACAGTTTTAGCTTTTCCATGGTGTTTGGATAAGCATAATTACGAACAAATGAGTCTTTTGTCTGTGGTGTTCAGACAGTTTTAGCTTTTCCATGGTGTTTGGATAAGCATGATTTCATTATGAACAAATGTATCTTTTGTCTGTGGTGTTCAGACAGTTTTAGCTTTTCCATGGTGTTTGGATAAGCATAATTACGAACAAATGTATCTTTTGTCTGTGGTGTTCAGACAGTTTTAGCTTTTCCATGGTGTTTGGATAAGCATGATTTCATTACGAACAAATGAGTCTTTTGTCTTTGGTGTTCAGACAGTTTTAGCTTTTCCATGGTGTTTGGATAAGCATGATTTCATTACGAACAAATGAGTCTTTTGTCTGTGGTGTTCAGACAATTTTTGCTTTTCCATGGTGTTTGGATAAGCATGATTACGAACACTGTATCTTGTTTTGCCTGTGGTGTTCAGACATTTTTTTTATATTTTTTTTTCGTATTTGGCAGCAGTGTTCAGACAAAATTGGCTAATAAATATTGTTGTTATAAAATATATAACTACAAATGTATATATTGTCTGTGGTGTTCAGACATCAAACATATACGAGGTTTTTTTGTTTTGTTTTTTTTTTTGACAAAAAATTAAACGATTTTAAGTATAAACTTAAAATAAATATATACAAATAAATGAAACATACCTCTTATCACACTTTTTTTTTTTTTTTTAACTGCTTAATTAATATCCACAAATGAAACACTTGTTAGTCCTAAATAATTACACTATAATAATTTAAACTTGTGAAAAATACACAGGCTTTACTTTAATTATGAACAATTATACGTCTTGACCGTAGCTGCTAATGCCTCGTTATGACCACTGGCTGCTGATAGCTGCGTCTTCTCTCTGTGAGGCCCATTAGTGAGTTTATATGTTACTAAGGATGAAATTTATATCAATTGATTATATAAAAGTTACCAATTTATTAAACATCTAAATACTTCAATAAAATATTTTTTTCTCTAATTTATATCAATTTATAATAAACTTAGGCTACAGTACTCATTTATTGTTGCTGATGATGCTAACAAAATTGAAACTTGAATTTAACATCTAAATACTTCATTTAAGTATTTTTCTCTCCAATTTATATCAATTAATAATAAACTTACTGGTTTCCTAGCAGTTTCCGGTCACAAATCATACTTTTTAACAAATAAAATAAAAACAAGTAGAGATTTTGATGCTAAAGCATCAAGTCGCCGGATAGAAATATGATTGCATCATCATAATAAACAAGAGCCGGTTGAACCGGGTGATGCTCCCCGAATAGGTTTTGGACACAGGAAGGTATACCTCTTGTTGTGTCAGAGTTATGTCACAGACAAAGTTCAAAGTGTAAAAACAACCCAAATATTGTGCACGACACATTGTCTAAATATGGTGATCATTTTTGTGAAATAGTTGTAAAATCCGATTTCAAATAACAAAGTTATGCGCCTGACATTATTTTGCTGCAAGGTCATGCTGTGACCTTGACCTTCAACGTAGTGACCTAAATGTTGCATGCGACACGTCGATTCAATATGGTGATCATCTCTGTGAAATAGTTGTTAAATCCGACTTCCAGTAACAAAGTTATGGGCCGGACACAATTTTGCTGCAAGGTCATACCGTGACCTTGACCTTCAAGGTAGCGACCCAAATGTTGCGCGCGATACAATGTCTCATTGTGGTGATCATTTCTGTGAAATAGTTGTAAAATCCGACTTCAAATAATGAAGTTATGTGCCGGACACAATTTTGCTTCAAGGTCATGCTGTGACCTTGACCTTCAAGTTAGCGAGCCAAATGTTGCGCATGACACGCCATTTTAATATGGTCATCATTTCTGTGAAATAGTTTAAAAATCTGACTTCAAATAAGGAAGTTATGGGCCGGACACGATTTTGCTGCAAGGTCATGCTGTGACCTTGACCTTCAAGGCAGCGATTTAAATGTTGTGCATGACACGTTATCTTAATATGATGATCATTTCTGTGAAATACTTTTTAAATCTAACTTCAAATAGGGAAGTTATGGGCCGGACACGATTTTGCTGCAAGGTCTTGCTGTGACCTTGACCTTCAAGGAAGCGACCAACATGTTGCACGCGACACATCGTCTCAATATGGTGATCATTTCTGTGGAATATTTTTTAAATCCGACTTCAAATAACAAAGTTATGGACCGGACACGATTTTGCTGCAAGGTCATGCTGTGACCTTGACCTTCAAGGTAGCGACCCAAATGTTGCGCGCGACATGTCGTCTCAATATGGTGATCATTTCTGTGAAATTTTTTAAAATCCAACTTCAAATAACAAAGTTATAGACTGAACACGATTTTGCTGCAAGGTCATGCTGTGACCTTGACCTTCAAGGTAGCGACCCAAATGTTGCGCGCGACACGTCGTCTCAATATGGTGATCATTTCTGTGAAATATTTTTTTAAAATCCGACTTCAAATAATGAAGTTATGGACCGGACACGATTTTGCTGCAAGGTCATGTTGTGACCTTGACCTTCAAGGTAGCGACCCAAATGTTGCGCGCGACACGTCGTCTCAATATGGTGATCATTTCTGTGAAATATTTTTAAAATCCAACTTCAAATAATGAAGTTATGGACCGGACACGATTTTGCTGCAAGGTCATGCTGTGACCTTGACCTTCAAGGTAGCGACCCAAATGTTGCGCGCGACACGTCGTCTCAATATGGTGATCATTTCTGTGAAACAATTTTAAAATCCGACTTCAAATAACAACAAAGTTATGGTCCGGACACGAATTCGGGACGTACGTACGGACTGACGGACGGACGGACAACCGACGACTATATGCTCCCCCGAAATTTTTCGGGGAGCATAATAAAAGAAAATATCAGTTTAATGGTTCGAGTATAAAGAAAAGAAGAACAATACGTTGAGTAATGTTTATTCAGAAATACGTTTTCACGTACTTGCCACAATTATATCTTTCTTGCTATAAACTTTGTTAAAGAGTTTTATGCAATAAATTCATATTATGTTATAATAAAACATCATATTTGAAGCAAACTTGCTTAGCAATTTTGTCAAGAAACTGTTATCATTATTAAATAAGGAAGTACTGTTTGGCAATATTTACCCGAGACTCAATAATTTTCGGGAGCTGTTTCGTTAGCTTACATAACTTATTATGATTAATGTTAACGATTTCATTGTAAGTATAATTACATGTATAATTATATCAATAAATATTGCTCAATGGCCTAGTGGTAAGTTGTAACCTACATTCGTTGGAGCAAGTTCGAATCTTGGACAAATCCTGTGTGTAGTTTTCATAAATTGATTTTTATTATATCTTTTAACTTTATGAAACATAAGTTGATAAATCGTGTGTTTTATTTCTAGCACTTTTTTATTTCATAATTTTGATAAATGGTCAAGTTTTACAAAATACAAAAAGTATTATAAAAGAAAACATAAAAAATCACTTTATCGAACCTACAGTCTTCAATTTGAAACTAACTTAAAATCTAACACCTGTAGAGCAAGTGATATGATTATAATTCTACTTGTAATTCTACTTTATACATATACCGTTGTACCATACTGAATCCGATCATTACCGACAAATTATTACCGATCATCGAATATTTGCAAAGAGACTATGAAAATATATATGCTTAATTATTGCATAAAACAATGCAATTCTACTATAAAAGTGGTGTCTGCATAAAAAAAAAATTCTTATGCACTTTCGAAAAAAAAATTATTTAGCTGAAATCAATATTCCTGTCGTTACTATATAGTTAACGTTTAATTGCCTTCCAGTGCGATAAACTATCAACACAAAGATAGTTTATTAGTTTTCTCTGTGTATCCAATACGATTCCGGCCCCTACTGTCATACACAAAACAAGTAAAATGGTTTCCTGCGGTGAACATTTTAATGATATTAAGATATTTCATTTAACTATTTTCAACATTATTTGGGGGGAGGGGGAATAAATAAACGTTTGTATCAGGAATATACTTGACAATAATCGATCATTATAAAAGAAGGTCTTTGGAAACTGGTGACCGTTGAAGACCGGAGAAGGTCGAACATAAAACAATTATTTCTTTTTAAGAAAATGATTAAATAGGCCTACCATTTTATGAATAATTCCGAGCAAAAAATAAATAAAGTAAACACACAAGTTTACGCAGAAAATATCTCTATCTCTATACACTACGAATATTTTAATTTTGTAGATTTTCAGTATAAATAATTTATTGTTTGTAAAATTTGAGATAGATATTAATGAAACATTCATAATTTTCAAACACATCATTCAAGTTTTTCCACCTTAAACGGTAAAATAATTATAGAAAATTAGAAATATCACGTTATAGTTTTTTGTTCTCAATTAGGTATAATTCGGACTAATTCTCTACAGGTAAATCCGTAACGTACCGGCAAACGGTATTTAGCTGGGTTTTCGAAAAGGTCGATTAACCAATCATGTACAGTTTACAGATCACATGCTCCTCCATGTACCGAAAACAGATCACGTGCTCCTCCATGCCTCAAAAGTTAAACGCGTACCAGTACCCTGCGGTCTCCAGACCGCAGGGAATAACTTTGATTTGCACTTTTATCAGCTGCAAACCATTCACAGGTTACCTGTATGATTTTCTTATCAGCCATTTGTTACTATTAATAGATTTTATAACGATAACATACAACGTGTAGTCACGTGATTCTGGGAGAAGCTGTTTATGATAAATAAGATAAAAAAGAATAGAATAGGTCTCATAACGTACAAACAACCAGATAATTTAAAAAAGTGTCATTTCAAATATCATGTATGATTTATTTATCATAAAATAGCAACACTTAACACTTTGAATAAAAGGAAAAACATCCCTTAATTCAATGACTTATCCATGGGGATACGTCATTAATTCAATTTATAAAAATTGTAATGTTGCTTTTTACGATGTCAATATTTGAATATTTCATTACCACGGTAGGGAATCACGTGACTTTTACGGTTACGCGTACAGACAATATGGCGGCCTAAAAACCTCGCTTCACATGTGTTTTTCAGGTAATTCTTTATTATATCCCTTTTACTTACATACGAGACCTGTTGCAGCCTACGCAGAATAAAGAATTGTTGCCGCCTATACCTTATTTTCCACCCCTGTGCTCATAGATTTTACAAACACTCAAAAATTCAACAGAAATTTTCAATGTAAACAATTATATTTCGGGTAACATTCACGCAAAATTTGTATTTTTTATGAATTTGATTAAACTACGTCGAGTTAGCAAAGAGAAAATGTTCATAGACTTTCTTTATTTGAAAATGTTAATATTAGGCATGTTAAATGTTGACAGGTCATTTTCTATTCCATTACACGAGAGAAAAATAATTTTGGTAACTCCCACGCATACTTTTATTGTTGATAACTCCCACACAATATTTTATGTGCAGGCAATATCTATGCAGGTTATAGCCTAGATATTGATTGAAAAAAATCATGATTGATGCATTTAGCATCAAACTTTCATAGAATTTTGAATAATATTAAAAATACCGCAAATAGGTCCTTGATAGAAGTAACCCAGCAGGCACATCAACGGTGAACAACGTTGAAGTATGATCAGATTTCAACGTTGAAATAACGTTAGATTTATGTTCGAATTTGAAAGTTTAAAAAACGTTGAAGTTCAACGTTGGCACAACGTTGAAGTTTCAATGTCATTTCAACATACTTTAATATAAATATAAAGCAAAGTACTGTACGTAACAGAGTTTAACAAAAAAATCAAGACACTATTAAATACTTCAGCTATTTTATTTCAAAACTACAGTTCAAGTGTAGCTAAAATTCAAACGATTTAAGAAGTCCTTTTAGTTTAACAATTAAGCTACAATCTGTTCCAATCTACCACTAGTTCTTCTTCTAGAGCTCTCTTGGTATGTCTAAAGTGTGTCATGATGGTGTTTGAATACTTCTACTGCTTCTGCAAATAAAATAAGAAGTTACATGTAAAAATTGACTTGGTCAATCTCAAATTATATATAATTAATCAACTTAGTGATTTGTTTTATCTTAAAATGCTTATCTTCTAAGATTTACATAATAAAACAGCATATAGAAATTAAGATACAGCTGAAGTTTCATATTGACAGTAAATTATGTACAAAAACAACAAAAACTTTTTAAAAAGAAGCTATTTAACCCTTAACCTCATATATACGCGAAACAACGCACTTTCGACCCCCCGCCCTTTTTTTAGGCCTGAAATAGTGAGAAAATGTCCTATTTTTCCCCAAACACATGTTTTCGTTTGAGAAATGTTGTTAAAAAAAGTGAGCACTTTTTCGGCGCCGCCCCCTGTCCAAAAGATACTTCAGGGGGTTGTCAGAAGGGGGATGTGCCCCCTTCTTTTTCGGGGGTTTGATGGGGGGCGGAGTCCCCCTCATCACAAAGAAAATTTTGGACTTGTGAGAGGCTTTAAATGACCCCAGGTCGATCATAAGGTAAGGTGTAACCAACGCTGAAAAGCCTTTGACTCTATCTCAATCCCTTGAGAAGTTGCAGCACTTTGAAGCAAATTTTGATGGAAAAAATCGAGGCAAAATAGTGATTTTTGGCAATTTTGAGATGTCCCCTCGTTGCCATGGTTACAGGAAATTTAACTTGAAAGAGGAGGCTTTTCAGTGAAAATGGCCATTTTTCACAATATGCTCATGGGTGAAAGGGTTAACTTAAAAAATTATAAATGTTACAAAACAACAATTATTCACCAAATTTAGGTAAAAGACCACATGTTAACATGTAAAAACTAGATTTTGGGTGATTCAAAAGTTTTTCATCATTTTTTGTTAGCCCTTTACCCCTCGTTGCCATGGTAACAGGAAATTTAAGACTGAGCATGTCGTTACAAAAGCAATGGTCCAGTCAACATTTGTGCCAAGTTTGATTAGTATTGAATCATTTTTCATAGTTTCATAGCAGTTTGAACTTGTAAGAGGAGGCTTTTCAGTGAAAATGGCCATTTTTCACAATATGCTCATGGGGGAAAGGGTTAAGTCTGACCTATGATTGGTAAGAAAAACTGCTCCCATCAGTTACGTCAGCATTTTCCCAAGAACAGTCCTTTCCATGTTAAATTTATGGTATAGAAGCTACAGCTGTAATACTTTAAATTTCAGCCAGGACCAGGATCTAGAATATAAAATAAACTTATTATTCCCTATATATTCACGGCAATTAAACTTAAAATTTAACACTCAACTTTATTATTTAACCACAAACAGTTTAATCAATATTTATTTTGAAAATGCAATGGATTTAATGTATTTTTCAAACTAATTCACATTTAATTTTACTATCACTAAGATATAAAATTAATACAGCTAAATTGACGAATCGTCTTGGGGCGTAAATTATATGGGGCGAACAACACTTCATCTGCTTATAGGTTACAATAATATGATAAATAAATTTCAAAAAGGCATGGCTTGTAAAATCATAAATTGCCAAGGACATCAATAACTTCGCGTAAGGCCTTCCAAACCCAAAACATTCAATTAGGTCGCGTTTTGATACAAAAGTCCAAAATATTAGAAGGAGGTTTTGTATTTCTGTTTTTATTAGTAAAATTACAGTTGTCATTTTTCATATTTTGCAGATATGGAAGGTTCCATCTCGGATATTGTTTGTGATAAATGTGGGAAACATTTCATTTGCGGATAGGTCTCAAATATTGACCACATGAACAGTCTACACGGCACAGGACCTTATAAATGTTGTGGTAAAACATTTTATAGCCCAGCAAATCGGAAACGTTACTGGTTTTACTGCTGATATTAAGATGACATTCAAACATAAGACCTTTAGATTTTATTACCTAGTTTGTAAAATAAAAGACCCATTCTAATATACTTTAGGTTGTTTTCTTTTATGCTTTAGATTAAAAAAAAACCACACACAACATAATAATGTTAAATACAGACACTAATTTGAAAAAAGTTGGTTTCATAAAAGACTAAGTGATAAAATGACTTGAATGTCTTTAAAATCTTAATATAACGAATAACATAAAATGCCATACCTGTCACGTTTCGATTTGTCACAACATTTACAAAGTCCTGTGCCGAGTAGCCAGTTTATGTGGTCATTAAGACAAATGTTGCCCAACATTATCCACAAACAATACCCGAACTGGAACCGCCCATATCTGCAAACTATGAAAAATGACAACTGTAATTGTGCTTATACTGAAATCGACCTCCTTCTTATATTTGAGACTTTTATTTTAATTTCTGCGATTAATTCATCTATATCGAAACTTCATTTAATATATTCACGTGAGTATGTATTCTGCTATCCATAGGGGCTTTATTCTATCCAGGACCTTTTGGCGGTATTTTTAATATTATTCAAAATTCTTTGAACGTTTAAGGCTAAATGCATCAATCATGATTTTGTTCAATCAATATCTAGGCTATAACCTGCATAGATATTGCCTGCACATAAAATATTGCGTGGGAGTTATCAACAATAAAAGTATGCGTGGGAGTTACCCAAATCATTTTTCTCTCATGTTTTGGAATAGAAAATGACCAGTCAACATTTAGCATGCCTAATATTTACATTTTCAAATAAAGAAATTCTATGAACATTTTCTCATTGCTAACTCGACGTAGTTTAATCAAATTCATAAAAAATACAAATTTTGCGTGAATGTTACCCGAAATATAATTGTTCACATTGAAAATTTCTGTTGAATTTTTGAGTGTTTGTAAAATCTATGAGCACAGGAGTGGAAACTAAGGTATAGGCGGCAACAATTCTTTATTCTGCGTAGGCTGCAACAGGTCTCGTATGTAAGTAAAAGGAATATAATAAAGAATTACCTCAAAAACACATGTGAAGCGAGGTTTTTAGGCCGCCATATTGTCTGTACGCGTAACCGTAAAAGTCACGTGATTCCCTACCGTGATTACATTGAGCAAGATTATTGTATGTTTGAATTTTTGAGATTACTGAAAACAATTGTAGTCTTTAATTGTTCAGTAATTGTTGTGTTTTTATTTCCAGATTTTAATGCCTGCTCCTACCATAGGTATAATATTAAACTGTTACAAATATAGTCGCCGGTTTCTACCGGCGACTAATCAGTCTACGGAGGGGTACAAAACTTTGACAGGACAAAGTTAGGTACAATGTACCCTTCAAGCATTGCCATGTGTTTAATGTTGCACTTTCATTTTACTTTTTAATTTGAATAAAGGCCTGAAATGTAACACCTTTTTTCACATTTATACAAAAATTCATAGCAGTTTTCCGGACCTTTTTATTTTGAGTATAATTCAGTACCATAAAGCAATGTTAAAATGGTTTTATCAGACAAACAGAACTTCCCAACCTTTTCAGTGTCATCTGCAAAAATATGTTCCGAAGTATTGATTTACCTAAAATCACAGTATATAAACGATTTGAACCCCAACCGGATCTTGTGAGAAGATCTCAACATCAGTTCCGTACAAACAGGCGGGGTGACCCATAAAACTTTTTTAAACGGCTTGCATTTAATCTGTGACGGTATGTAAACATTTGAATCATATTAAGAAATATTTTTTCTTAGCTTATAGATACATCTATAAGCTGCCTCTTTAAATTTATGCGCATAAAACGCTGTGCTCTTCGCTTCGTGTTTTGTTTATGTCAACACACGCCGATTACACAAGCAAATTTATGCCTAAAATTGTTTTATTTCACTATAACTCATATCTGAATCTTAAGTTTATTGTCTAACCTCGTGTTACCGCACAGAAACATGTGTATATATCTTTGAATATTGATAAAAACGTAGTAAATAATAGAGGCAAACATTCTGATAACTGCACCCGTCTTGCTAAAACAATTTTAATGATCTGTACCCTACTTGTGTTTTCACTGAACCATAACTTGCGAGTCACTTTTGATGATTTTTATTGTTTTTGTCCTATGTTTGCAGAATATGAAGTTATTGTGTCACAAGAGCATGACACATCTTTTAGCTCTATATAAGTAACCAATACTGCACATGAATGGACCTTCATCATGTTTTCACTTTCCAGCATGAAGTAGCTGGTAATACGAATTAGAAAGAAAATTATTTCTTGACAGGAATGATCAACCAACAAATTTTATCTTCATTTACCATTCATTTTTCTTTGAAAAGATATAAAGCTAAGATATAACATAAGTACTATAAACGTTTCTACTATTAAGTTCAACGGCATTGTTGTTGGTTTTGACGTGATCATTGTATATAACGTCACATATCAATCCATCCTCCTCGAAAGATCATCACAGGATTTTTTTGGCAGATTACACATGTTGAAAGCTTTAAATTACACCTACCGTTGATTTCAATATGTTTTTTGAAACACAGTTTTATATTCTCATAAATGCCTTGACTTTCTTTTTCTGATATGCATGAATACTCTCTTAATAAATCATTTTAAGGAGTTTCCTGCATATTGTTCTCTTGCAAGTTTATTTCCACACTTATTTTTAAATAGTTTACAGTCTTGCCAGTGGCTAAGATAACTTGTTAGTTTTCTTTTCACACAACTTAAAAAGTTTATCACTGGCTATCATAATTAAGTATCTTAAGTCAAAAGATATATATAAATACAGTTTCTTTCTATAAATTGCTATATACATATGTACATGTATTTCAGATGGATTTGGATGAATCATTTGTAGTTAAGGGTCTTGACAGAAGCTTTCGTGTAACTAACAAACACTCCCCTGAATGTGGAATAAGTATCTTTTGTCGATGTGTGAACATCTTGAACAGACGTTTTGATTTTTGACATTTCTTGATTGGAGATTATTTTTCAAGTCCTTCTTGTCTTGAAATCTTTACAGTTTTTGTAATATCATTTGCTTTTAAAGTCCTTTTTAATTTTTTCGGTTCTTTTGGAATAATTCTAAAGTTTTTTTGAGTATGATTTTAATGTTTCTGTTATTGTTGTCAAGCTGAGAAATTGCTATTTTAAGCTTTTGTTCTGATGTCCAAATTATGAACAATAGTGTTTCCGAATATTTTTTTTAAGAGAAAGGGGGCAATGAAGACAACTGAATTATTCCATTTTGCCTGTCAATAAACAATTAAATACGTTAAATAATTAATATTCTCTCCATTTAATCTTTAAAAATACTCACAAGTCAGGGTACAGATAAAATTTTTAAACTCACAAGTAGGGTTCACAATCACCAGCAAGTAACGTTCAGTTTACGGAATTGACCTCCTTGGTTAAACTCTTAATTTAATGTTCAAAATACAGTAATATTTTTGGCAGATGACTAAATTATCGTTTATTATTGATTATTTTAGTAGTTCGATATCACAATTCAATATTTAACTAAATAAACATCGAAATAAGACAGATTTTTGCTAGTGTTCAGTGTCGATCACCTGAAAGCAGTTCGTGAGTTTTGATTATTTTATAGCTTTAATGCTAACATTTATATTTTGCATAACTTAAACACTTAATAAAGTTTCTCCTCTACGATATAAATATAGATTTACTAACCTAACGTCCATAAGTATCAATATAAATACCAATATATTAAACAAGTTAAGCGGCAGAAAATGGCTGACACTGAAATCTTCTCACAAGATCCAGTTGGGGTTCAAATCGTTTATATACTGTGAAAATGGGGTCTTTGTTATTGCGCATGGATATTCAAACTAGAATTCCCCAGGTGTTGTTTTATTTTTGAAAGTCACAAGTTCTCTTATGTAACTTTAAATAACAGGCAAAACTTCATAACAAATAAATTGTTGTACTATTTTAAATGCTGTTTAGCATAGAAAACAAATGTCTCTCTGTATGATGAAGTAATGTGGATACAGTACACTAAAATAGACTGTACTGGACGAAAATCATAAAATGGCCGGAAAACTGCTAGGGGACGGAAACTGCTAGGAAACCAGTACAGTACCCATTTATTTATCATCTAAATACTTTAATAATAATGACTAATGTAATAATAAAAATAAGAATGGGGAGGAACTGTCTGCTTATTTGCAAATATGCAGACGGTTCTCCCCCAAAATAGGGAGGAAACGTCAGGGCAGGAACTGGTATAGGCTAAGGGAGAGAAAAGTCTGACTTCCAATTGTCAGTGATTGTTATCGTGGACTAACCAGTTCTCAAACCTCTAAGCATTCAAGAAGTCTTTTAATGTAAATAAAAATATATCTTTCTAAAAATTCTTTACATCTGTAAAATTTAATTTTTGTGTAACATTTCTGTAAAATTTGACAGAAATTTAACTATTAAAAAAGCTCTATTTCCATCTTGGAAAAGCACAACCCTCTGTTTTAAAACTAACATGGCCTCTTAAAATAAAGTACCTAATCTCAAACCCCTTCAAGTATCTCTAAAATTCTACTGTTTAGTTTAGCCAATGAAGTGATTGTTATATGACATCACATGCGAATGAAGTACCCTACAGGATGAAAGTACCTGCTTTAAGATATTTTAGTCTATAATATTCATTTTCACAAATAGCTTATGGTGTGTTTACAGGACTTACAAAGGTAATAGCAATTTGTATGAAATTACACAAAGTAATAAAATATTTTTTGTTAATATTTGTTCCTATGCACTGTTTTCATTTGACATCAGCAGACATGTCTGTCAGAAACAAAGCTTTTAAGCACACAAGTTCAGGACATCAAAGTTACTTCTAGTAAAAAAATAACAGCACATGAATGAAAGGTTTGAGAATAGGTTGGGTGTGAGATTAGGTACTTATGCGATACATGTACATTCGGTTTATACCTCCAAGTCAACCCAAACAATCCTTTCACTTTTCCTTTGTAAACGTTTACGTCTTTTACTTGCTGAAGACATTCCTCGCAGTGAATGATGATATATATTTGATTTAGGAAATGCACTTGAAATTACAAATTTTATAATGCGCATGCTGTAAGTTGAACACCACTATTATATCAATCTCCACGCAGTGATCTCCCCTTAATTCACGAATTCGAAAACCATTCGGAACTGCCTCGGCTATTATCTATAGTAACCTCGGACACGTGGTTTCAGATGTAAACAGAAACAGAGGTAATGTAAAATGAATGTATATATTTGACATCCCAAAAAAAGTAATGTCTGTTTCGGTACTCTTAATGCTTGAAAATATGTCGCACAACAAATTGTAACACTGATGTTCAATTTTAAACAAATCCGACTAAATGTCAACAGGTTGGTTTTTTGTACTTTCGGTTTCTACAACCATAATAATAAATATATAAATAATGTATTGTTTGCTTTTGTACCTATGAATTCATTTATTTTAAGGTGTACTTTTACTACATATATTGGAAATAAACTTGTCAACAACTCCCAGCATTACATTACTATTTGTTTACATGTTTAGTTTCTTAGCGTAGGTTAGACCGAAATACCGCATCCGTTCTGTGTATTCATACTATTGTGTTCGAGGTCCATATCCGAAGACTGACGGAAAGGGCCGAGTAGTTGCGATTGATTCGAAAACCTAGCTAAACGCCGTTTTCCGGTGATATCTTAAGCAAACAATGTAGGGTGTGTATGTTGGTTCTTTACTTTATTTACCATGGTATATAGGTAAAAATCATAATCAGTAAGTTTTATTACAATATTGAAGGAAAAAGTTATGAAAAAAGCACATTTAATTGTGATTACTTGTATTTTAACCCGAAATTTCATGCTCTCATTTAATTAAATTGAGTTTCTGTTACAATTTTTAAGCAATAATGTCTTATTCTTTCATAGAAGTAACTGTATGACATTAGCCGGTAACATTAAACTTTATTCAAAGAAAATCCATTTACAGAATCAAAAGATATGACAGAATTTGTAATATAAATTTTTGCGTAAAATTCTATTGGCCGAGCCTGACTTTTCGCATGAAGGTTCATATTTAAGAAATTGTACCGCATTAATGTAATTTGTTAGAGACATGTCAAACCTATATGACTGTATTTGTATAACACTAAATTACTAGGAAATGAGTATAAAGTTTGGCTTAACTTAAATTTTGGATTCAAGATAAGAAATGTCAAAAATGGGAACTGGTTGATGGATATGGATGAAACTTTGCATCAGTGTTGTGTTTATGAATAGAATTCAGGAAAATAAAGGATTACTGACAGGTTTGAAAATTTTAATTTTATTTCAAATTTTAAATTTGACATTTTAAATTGGGACATATGTTGTTGTTGTTATCTCCCCTTCAAATGTAGATATATCGTTAACATACTTAGAAACCATAGTGAGTACCCTAGAAATTGACTTCCAAATATGTGTGGTAATTCTAAATGAAGAGCCATATGTAAATATTTTGGTTCGTTGAGTTAATGTTTCAGCAAAATATGAGCAATTGGAATGCTGTAAGTATATCACGCTCATAGTATTAAAAATTAGTGTTCTACTATTGTTTCCTTCAATTTAACTATTTTTCACTTACGAAGATATTTTAATAAAACTAAACTAATTATTGTTGAACAGGTTAATGACTAAATTTTCGTTACGCATATTTAATACCATGTGTATATATTAGAGGTCAAAAGCAACACAAATCATTACACAGGCACCTATCATTGTTTGCTTCACGGATATCTCAGTAAATACAAACGTGAGAACGGTTTGATTAAGGGTTTTGCGTGCGCTAAAGAGGTACCATATCACCATGGGTGCTATAGTGTTTTTCGTGAAGAGATGAATTATTTGGCATAAATACTCTCACTATACAAATATAAGCTTTTACAACATGATAGAACGATCTATACGTCTTCCCACTGTTAAATCATTCGAATATAAAACAGTGAGTTATCTTTAAATGAGTAGTCACAAGGATTTGAGTATCTGATATAGTATTATTAACACTCAGTCTTCCTGAATAAGCTATATAACTACCATTATATTGCCCGAGCATTGGGGAGGGCGATAACCTTGTTGTTGTTGTGTTGTCATCTAGTTAGACATATAAGAATTTTATAACTCTTCTAGCAATTGTGTGTACCTAATGGTACTACCAAAGATGGCTATTTCTTTGACTGCAGGCATGCACTATTGTTTTCCTGAAAGGAGTACACTATTATGAATATCTCTTTTAACATGGAGTAAGCTCTACCTGTGGTAAGGTGTAGAATTAGTATTATACTTACTTGATATTTTTAGGTGAAATTTGTGCTTTCTTTTTTCTTTATTGTGTAGAAATAAATTACAGCTGATCAAAATCGACTACTTCATTATAATGAATAAAAAAAAGGGGGCGTATTAATTTTCTTAATGATACTCGCTGGAAATACGTCAAGAAAGAGTCTGTCTGGATCTTAGTCGTGGTCGTCCGTCCTGTCTCGATAATTACGTTAGGAAAGCTGCAACATAGGTGTTAATTTCGCCAGAGTTCAGCATCAGGAGAGTTATATAAATATTGTGTTTTCTGAGAATATAATCGTCAATTGCCTGGCAATTGAAGAAATAGTCAGTCTTCAGTAATTTATTAACGCTGCTTTCTTAAATTTTTAGGACGCATGTAGCAGCCTTCATACAACCTTAGGATTCTCCAAAACAATTGGTTATTATCAAGTTTGTGTGTCTTTAAGAGCCCAATTATCCATAATATGAATCTAATTTGATGTAGCACCCTTATAGATTAGAATCTTTGGTGTGTGTTACAAGTGGGTAGTAGTTCAAAGGTCAATATTATTACGTAGTCCAAAAATACTTTTATGCCAACACAGCATTAAACATCAGTGTTTTACACGACAATTAACAAACGGTTCCTCGAAAATACCTCTCGATTTTTCCTAACAAATAATTATACCATAATATAAGTATAGTCCTGTCATTATTAACCTATGACAAGGCATCGCTCTAGGAAATCTATACTATAACATATGATACTACATATCGGTATATTGGTCGATTGGTTGCGCTAACATCAATGACACAGTAGATGAACCCTCTAATATTATGATATTGTGTGTCTGGGGTTCAATAGAGTGGGAGAGGCAAGTTCTAACATGGACCCTCATTGACAATGCAAATTTGAAGACTGCGTTTTTCGTTAGAGTCAAATATACCTAAATCGGATTGCAACCCTTTAGGCTAGGAAACTTCAAATTGAGATGGTGAATTGGTCAGAACTCATTGGATGACCCCTATTGATTTTGGAGTCAAGGGGTCAAGGTCAAGGTCACATTGACCTGAAAGCAAAAACAGTTTCTTGTCACATAACTAAGACCTTACGGGCCTAGGAACTTCAAACCTCTCGGTATGGTGATTAGTCATGACAGTTGATGACCCTATTGATTTTGGGTCAAGGGGTCAAAGCTCAAGGTTCACATTGAGCCTTAAAGCAAAAACGGTTTCCGATTCAATAATAAGGAACCTTAAGGCCTAGGAACTTCCCAAACTTGGTATGGCCACTTGGTCATGGGGATCAGTAGTCGCTCCTTATGAGGTAATTGGGCGTCAAGGGGGTCTTATAAAGGTTGCAGTTCACCATTGACCTTGTAAGCAAAAAAACGGTTTCTATACCAAAACTTAAAGAACCTTAAGGCCTAGGCAACTGTCCATTATAACGGTATGGTAATTGGGCTATGTGGTAAGAGGATGATCAGTGTGAGGATCGCAAATTCCCCTATTCGATTTTGGGGTGTCATTGTGGTCATAGTGTACAAGCGTCACAAATTTGGAATCCTTGCACAGAGATAAATTAACCGCGTTTCGCGAATCAATACACTAAACGAACATTCAAGGCTATAGGACATCCCACCATGTTTTCACTTGGTGCAATTGGTCTATGGATCATAGTATGACCCATATTTAATATTCGGAGGTCAAGGTGTGTCTCAAAGGTCAGGTGAATAATTCTCTTTGTATGTAAAACGGTTCAGAATATCTAAATATCTTAAATAGGATATCCTTTAAGGCTAAGGAACTTCAAACTTTGGTATGGGTGAATGGTTCATGATCTAGATAGTGATTACCCGATATATAGATTTTGGGCGTCAGGGGTCAAAGGTCTCTCAAGGTCACATTGACTTTTTAATTAAAAAACTGTTTCTTAATCTAAGAGATCAACCATATTTGAACGCTTAGCCCTGGAACTCTTAAACATGAGGGTATGGCTGATGTGGGGTCCCATGAATCAAGATAGATGACACCTATTGATTTGGGGTATAGAGCGGTCAAATAAGGTCACATTGACTTTGTAGTAAAAACGGTATCGATCTAATAACTAACAGAACCTCTTAGAGGCCCTAGGAATTACTCTTCTAAATTCTATGCGAATATGAGTGATTGGTCATGATCTTGTGTAGTGTAGAACCTTGCTTTTTAGATTTTGGGGTTCAAGTTGTTGTGAAAGGTCAAGGTAACATTGTTATACCTTATATTATTTATAACAGTTTTGCTGATATCAATACAAAAGAAACCCTTAGGCCTAGGAACTTCTATTTACTTGGTATGGTGACTATGGTTTTTATGCACAATCATCAGTGTGGCATGACCTCTCCTATATTGATCTTTTTAGAGCTGTGAGGGAAGTACAAAGAAGGTCAGGTCACATTTGGATCCTTGTAACGCGTATAAATACGCGGTTTCTTGGATCAATAATTGAAAAAGCACCTTAGGCAGAGGATCTGGTAGACACATGGATGAGATCGGATATGCGTTACATGAATCTTAGTAGATGACCTCCTTATGTGATATTTGGGGTGTAAGAGGGTCAAAGGTCACATTGACCTCTTAGGGTAAAAAACAGTTTCCGATCAACTAACTAAAACAGTAATGATTCCCCTATAGGCCTTATGAGAAAATTTAAGATTATGAATATGGTGTTTTATTTTATGGTAAATTATTCGAGAGATATGACACCCTAAATTGATTTTAATTTGGGGATTTTTAGTGAAAGCCTTCAGTATATTCAAGCTTTATGTTTTGCAATGAGGCTTTTTCCAATAACAAATTGCACCCTATCGTGATGCAAGTTTCATCCATATTCCATACAAACCAAAGATTGCCCATTTTCCTCGATTCTTATATCAATCTTTATATAGCTTTGATACTTCCTCGGTCACTCGCGCCTTATGAGAACTTTTTCCGTAAAATTACTTGTGTAGTTTATGGTATTAGGAATTAATGCTCAGGGCTCAATTAGATCTGGAGCAGGGTTGATATCTCATAATTGATTTTGGTTCCGCATGTTCCATATGGAGGCGCGTACAAATGGTTCAAGGGTCACTCATTGTAACCCTTTTCGCTAGTGTTACAAAACACGTTTTTGTGATCATTAACTAAAACGCTTAGGCCATATGAATAATTCAAATCTTTGTGATAGAATAGGTTCTCTAGGATCTCATGACCGCAGGCAGAATGACCCTTTGAGTTTTAGTGAAGGGGTCAGACAGGCTACAAGCGTCACATTGAACTTTTGAGTATAGGTTATCGCGCGCGCTCTAATCTTCTACTTTTATTTCAATAAGTAATCAATTTTGCAATTCAGTTCTGTTAGGCCTAGGTAGTACTATACCAAACATGGTTGTAAATTTCATACGGTCCACCTCTTGTGTTAACCAAGCAACTGATCATGACTGCCTTAGTTGGAGATTTGGGTTACCACAGCTATAAGGTCTCAAGCTTTCACCACAATCGACACTTAGCTCAAGTAAAAACGGTTTCTGATCAATAACAAAGTAACGGCTTCAGAGCTAGATACTTCTAAATGGGACTAATGACGATGCTCTCGTAAAATGAACCAGCAAGATGACCCTATGTATTTTAGGTGGTCATCAAGGGTCAAGAGTCACAATTCCACTATGTATGTACTATAAAACGGCTTTACGCACTGACTACACTAAGAGAATCCCATTAGGCCTAAGTAAACTTCACAATTTCTTTTATGTATGGATTAGCGCATACTCTATAGTACTCAGCATAAGATGACCCCTTAATTGATTTTAGGGTCAAAACTTTGGGGGAAGGTCAAGGACCACATTTTTGCCCTTGTTAAGAGTAATTATCTCGGATATATGAATGACTTAATCAATTTACTAAACAATCGTCTTCTTAGGCCTACGGAACTTCAAAAATCTGGTGTGTTCTGTGGATTGATCTTGTTTCGGGCTACGCTCGAGAGAGATACGCTATTATTGAGTTGAGCCGTGTACAAAGGTGGGATCAAAAGTCCGTCAAAAGTGTTTATGAAGTTATACAAGGGCCAAATATATTGATTACTATTACTTCTATAATTTCCCTATGGTTAATTTGTTTGATATCTACTTGGATTTCAAGAAGATCTAATTAGACACAATAAACTCAACGGCTTTCTATACAATGACTATTTGGAGACATGTTCTGCTTGAATAGGGGGGCATACATGTATTTACATTAACACCATATTCTATAATTTCATAATGGCTCATAGTGTTCATTTGTTTCTCAGACCTTAGCAGCTTAAAATATGCCTGTGGTATTGATAGTATATGACCTTATTCCGTATAACTCTTTGATTAAGGATGCATATTAGTAAGGAATGTCTCAGCTCTGTCTGGGCAGCATCAGATTTGTCAGAGACACATTCGAGAAAGTAAAAATCTTATGATCTTTAGTTGAACTCTTCATCTGCTATATGTATATCTCTTTGGTTTGCTTGTAATTAGGAGTTCTGAATTAATCCGTACCCGCTAATAGCTGTATACTTACTGGGTTACAGAATAAGGATTAGTATATTAGTATGTGCTCATTTTTTAATGATGTTTAGTTTATTCAGAGAACTCGCGATTTAAATTTAAGTGGGAGCATTGAAAATTGCGCGTAATTCATGGTTTAAAACAAAGTATTATTCCACTCAAAAGTAACTATATCTCGATTGGCTTTTATTGATTATAATTAACTTATTCTTTCAAGTGGAGTTAAGTAACGAGACTTTATGGATATTAGTTCACTAATATCAGGAGGCTTTTATAGGTTAAAAGAACCAAGACCTTTTACATCATTCGTACATTTGTGTGTGTTAAAGCGATACATAGATGATGCAAACAGAGCTGGTATTATTAATGGATAGCAAAATGATATGCTATCCGACCTTGGGCTGTGTTCCGACAAGTAGGAAAAACTCTCACACAATAACCATAAAGATGGGATTACCGCCCCCCACTATAAGGTATATATACTAATAATGTCCGAAGAGAAATGTATACCTCGATCATTATAGTTAACAACTTTAAAATGATCTCAAACCTCTTGTTTGTCTTTATTTTGATCGATCTGATAAGGCAACCGGTATAGCTCACTAATAGAATAGCCGGGCCGCATAATTTGCCCAGACCGATCTCTTTACGTATAGATTTATCACAACTTAGGAAAACATAGAACCTTAATAGGTAACAAATCAATAATCTAGTAAGATGATATCATATCAATAATTTGTAGAAAGAAGAGGAAAACAGTAAGTTATGAAGAAGCAAAGAACACAAGTTAATGTGTGCTATAAAATTTAATACTTGAAGTATTATTTAACGCTGATACCGAATATCTAATGTCATCAATCTATAATTAAATAATTCCATTTGGAGTATTCTCGTCTAACAAATTTATTAAGCAACATAATGTTCCTTATTTCTTTCATAGAATACTTGTATGAACCCATATGCCGATACTGGTAATAATTATACAATCATGCCATAATATCAAGAAATTCCATTTACAGAATCACCTAGTATACAATTGTATGAGTTCTATGTTTCATTTATAATAATATATAGAGACAATAGTTTTCATTTAGCATACTGAATATTATCTCTACTTTCAGTCATTCCTGCGCATGGCAACTGCAATCTCTATCGCCAATGTATAATAGTGTGGTTTTCATCTCTATAGATGAAAGTCAATAGTGTGACGCACTTAGGTGCTTGTTCGCTGAATCTCTTGTTAAGAACATAGGTGTCGAAAGCTCGTAATCTATTGTGACGGTGCTCTTTGGAGATCTCTGGTGATGGAGCTTGTCACAAATTTAAATTTAAATTTTTGCACCCTGTGTTAAGCAATATGCTATAAATCTAGCTTATTTTTATAAGATTTATATAGAAAATGATAATTTTTAGAGAAATGCAAAGTCTTAAATTATGGATAAATTATGCATTGAAGGAATTGGGGAGTGTGTGGTTTCAGATTGGTTACATTGGTAAAAAAAGTGATCAGCAAGCTCATTCCAGAGATCTCTAAGGGGCCCAAGATTCACCGGCCATGGGATTCGAACAAGCACCATAGTAGCCTATTGCTCATATGGACCACACATTATATGTTTTGATGTTTCAGCAAAGGATTGATGCTGTAGTAATCAGTATGTAAATATTCACTATTGTCCTGTATTTAAATGAAGAAGAACTAACAATTGAACAGGACAAATGTGATTTATATTTTGGAAATATAGGCATTTTCAGTGTAGTGAAACTTGATGTTTTGCTGTGTTGCAGAATGTATTTGCTAGTAATATATACACATAAAAGATTTTCTAGTCATTAAACAGTGTATTTTATGGATAATTGGCTCATTTAGAATAACACAGTTGATATAATTGTTGTTGTTGTTGTTGTTGTAGCTGCTACAGCAGTTAAATTAGGTTAGGTTTATAATGTCTAAACTGCTATTTTCATGCAGGCATGCATTTTTCAGAACACAATATTTATATAAGCTCTCCTGTGTGAATTAGCAAATCTAGCCATTTATTAATTAAGACATTATTTTCTTTCTTTTTCAGATATTAGAATTACAGCAATAAATGCCCCTTATAATTTTCTTAAGCATGTACTAGTGTTGCATATTTTTTCAGACCATGCAGTTGCCAAAGCCTGGGTTTGAGTATATGACCTTACCTTATCCTGGTAAAGATCTATAGAAGGACTCCTTCAGCTCTGTTTGGCAGCAGCTTTGTCAGGACACATTGAGAAGGTAATAACTTATGTCTAGTTTGAAACTTCAGCTATTGGCGGTAGCGCCTCCCAATGCTCGGGTAATATTTGGTAGTTATTTTGATGTATTTCAGGAGAAAATTTCTCTAATTCTGACTATATTAAGACTTCTCAATGATTTAAAGTGGGGGACAGTATGTGTCATCTTTTTAAAGCCTTATTTGTGTGAGAGTTGGCTAATCTTACTTTGTCAGAAGACACAGCCCATGGTGATATGGTAACCTCTTTGCTAACCTTAAGATTACCTCTGTTTGTCTTTATTGATATCTTAAGCAAACAATGCAGGGTGTGTATGTTGGTTCTTTACTTTATTTACCATGGAATATAGGTAAAAATCATAATCAGTAAGTTTTATTACAATATTGAAGGAAAAAAATTTGAAAAAAGCACATTTAATTGTGATTACTTGTATTTTAACCCAAAATTTCATGCTCTCATTTAAAGAAATTGAGTTTCTATTACAATTTTTAAGCAATAAGGTCTTATTCTTTCATAGAAGTAACTATATGACATTAGCCGGTAACATTAAACTTTATTCAAAGAAAATCCATTTACAGAATCAAAAGATATGACAGAATTTGTAATATAAATTTTTGCGTAAAATTCTATTGGCCGAGCCTGACTTTTCGCATGAAGGTTCATATTTAAGAAATTGTACCGCATTAATGTAATTTGTTAGAGACATGTCAAACCTATATGACTGTATTTGTATAACACTAAATTACTAGGAAATGAGTATAAAGTTTGGCTTAACTTAAATTTTGGATTCATTTAAGATAAGAAATGTCAAAAATGGGAACTGGTTGATGGATATGGATGAAACTTTGCATCAGTGTTGTGTTTATGAATAGAAGTCAGGAAAATAAAGGATTACTGACAGGTTTGAAAATTTTAAATTTTATTTCAAATTTTAAAATTTGACATTTTAAATTGGGACATATGTTGTTGTTGTTATCTCCCCTTCAAATGTAGATGTCTGCTACTGTGTCAGTAAGCAGGGAGAAAGGTACAGAGCTTTTGCATGAAAGATTAACCACATTTTATTGAATTAAAACTGTAAAAATAAATTTAGAATTAAAAAATGAAATTTAAATTTTGTAAAAAGCAGTTTATAAATTGATAAATTTTATTTTTGCACCCTGTGTTAAGCAATATGCTATAAATCTAGCTTATTTTTATAAGATTTATATAGAAAATGATAATTTTTAGAGAAATGCATCTTAAATTATGGATAAATTATGCATTGAAGGAATTGGGGAGTGTGTGGTTTCAGATTGGTTACATTGGTAAAAAAAGTGATTGGCAAGCTCATTCCAGAGATCTCTAAGGGGCCCAAGATTCACCGGCCATGGGATTCGAACAAGCACCATAGTAGCCTATTGCTCATATGGACCACACATTATATGTTTTGATGTTTCAGCAAAGGATTGATGCTGTAGTAATCAGTATGTAAATATTCACTATTGTCCTGTATTTAAATGAAGAAGAACTAACAATTGAACAGGACAAATGTGATTTATATTTTGGAAATATAGGCATTTTCAGTGTAGTGAAACTTGATGTTTTGCTGTGTTGCAGAATGTATTTGCTAGTAATATATACACATAAAAGATTTTCTAGTCATTAAACAGTGTATTTTATGGATAATTGGCTCATTTAGAATATCACAGTTGATATAATTGTTGTTGTTGTTGTTGTAGCTGCTACAGCAGTTAAATTAGGTTAGGTTTATAATGTCTAAACTGCTATTTTCATGCAGGCATGCATTTTTCAGAACACAATATTTATATAAACTCTCCTGTGTGAATTAGCAAATCTAGCCATTTATTAATTAAGACATTATTTTCTTTCTTTTTCAGATATTAGAATTACAGCATAAATGCCCCTTATAATTTTCTTAAGCATGTACTAGTGTTGCATATTTTTTCAGACCATGCAGTTGCCAAAGCCTGGGTTTGAGTATATGACCTTACCTTATCCTGGTAAAGATCTATGGAAGGACTCCTTCAGCTCTGTTTGGCAGCAGCTTTGTCAGGACACATTGAGAAGGTAATAACTTATGTCTAGTTTGAAACCTCAGCTATTGGCGGTAGCGCCTCCCAATGCTCGGGCAATATTTGGTAGTTATTTTGATGTATTTCAGGAGAAAATTTCTCTAATTCTGACTATATTAAGACTTGTCAATGATTTAAAGTGGGGGACAGTATGTGTCATCTTTTTAAAGCCTTATTTGTGTGAGAGTTGGCTAATCTTACTTTGTCAGAAGACACAGCCCATGGTGATATGGTAACCTCTTTGCTAACCTTAAGATTACCTCTGTTTGTCTTTATTGATATCTTAAGCAAACAATGTAGGGTGTGTATGTTGGTTCTTTACTTTATTTACCATGGTATATAGGTAAAAATCATAATCAGTAAGTTTTATTACAATATTGAAGGAAAAAAATTTGAAAAAAGCACATTTAATTGTGATTACTTGTATTTTAACCCAAAATTTCATGCTCTCATTTAAAGAAATTGAGTTTCTATTACAATTTTTAAGCAATAAGGTCTTATTCTTTCATAGAAGTAACTGTATGACATTAGCCGGTAACATTAAACTTTATTCAAAGAAAATCCATTTACAGAATCAAAAGATATGACAGAATTTGTAATATAAATTTTTGCGTAAAATTCTATTGGCCGAGCCTGACTTTTCGCATGAAGGTTCATATTTAAGAAATTGTACCTCATTAATGTAATTTGTTAGAGACATGTCAAACCTATATGACTGTATTTGTATAACACTTAATTACTAGGAAATGAGTATAAAGTTTGGCTTAAATTAAATTTTGGATTCATTTAAGATAAGAAATGTCAAAAATGGGAACTGGTTGATGGATATGGATGAAACTTTGCATCAGTGTTGTGTTTATGAATAGAAGTCAGGAAAATAAAGGATTACTGACAGGTTTGAAAAATTTAGATTTTATTTAAAATTTTAAAATTTGACATTTTAAATTGGGACATATGTTGTTGTTGTTATCTCCCCTTCAAATGTAGATGTCTGCTACTGTGTCAGTAAGCAGGGAGAAGGCTACAGAGCTTTTGCATGAAAGATTAACCACATTTTATTGAATTAAAACTGTAAAAATAAATTTAGAATTAAAAAATGAAATGTAAATTTTGTAAAAAGCAGTTAATAAATTGATAAATTTTATTTTTGCACCCTGTGTTTAGCAATATGCTATAAATCTAGCTTATTTTTTACAAGATTTATATAGAAAATGATAATTTTTAGAGAAATGCATCTTAAATTATGGATAAATTATGCATTGAAGGAATTGGGGAGTGTGTGGTTTCAGATTGGTTACATTGGTAAAAAAAGTGATCAGCAAGCTCATTCCAGAGATCTCTAAGGGGCCCAAGATTCACCGGCCATGGGATTCGAACAAGCACCATAGTAGCCTATTGCTCATATGGACCACACATTATATGTTTTGATGTTTCAGCAAAGGATTGATGCTGTAGTAATCAGTATGTAAATATTCACTATTGTCCTGTATTTAAATGAAGAAGAACTAACAATTGAACAGGACAAATGTGATTTATATTTTGGAAATATGGGCATTTTCAGTGTAGTGAAACTTGATGTTTTGCTGTGTTGCAGAATGTATTTGCTAGTAATATATACACATAAAAGATTTTCTAGTCATTAAACAGTGTATTTTATGGATAATTGGCTCATTTAGAATAACACAGTTGATATAATTGTTGTTGTTGTTGTTGTAGCTGCTACAGCAGTTAAATTAGGTTAGGTTTATAATGTCTAAACTGCTATTTTCATGCAGGCATGCATTTTTCAGAACACAATATTTATATAAGCTCTCCTGTGTGAATTAGCAAAACTAGCCATTTATTAATTAAGACATTATTTTCTTTCTTTTTCAGATATTAGAATTACAGCATAAATGCCCCTTATATTATTTTCTTAAGCATGTACTAGTGTTGCATATTTTTTCAGACCATGCAGTTGCCAAAGCCTGGGTTTGAGTATATGACCTTACCTTATCCTGGTCAAGATCTATAGAAGGACTCCTTCAGCTCTGTTTGGCAGCAGCTTTGTCAGGACACATTGAGAAGGTAATAACTTATGTCTAGTTTGAAACTTCAGCTATTGGCGGTAGCGCCTCCCAATGCTCGGGTAATATTTGGTAGTTATTTTGATGTATTTCAGGAGAAAATTTCTCTAATTCTGACTATATTAAGACTTCTCAATGATTTAAAGTGGGGGACAGTATGTGTAATCTTTTTAAAGCCTTATTTGTGTGAGAGTTGGCTAATCTTACTTTGTCAGAAGACATAGCCCATGGTGATATGGTAACCTCTTTGCTAACCTTAAGATTACCTCTGTTTGTCTTTATTGATATCTTAAGCAAACAATGTAGGGTGTGTATGTTGGTTCTTTACTTTATTTACCATGGTATATAGGTAAAAATCATAATCAGTAAGTTTTATTACAATATTGAAGGAAAAAAATTGAAAAAAGCACATTTAATTGTGATTACTTGTATTTTAACCCAAAATTTCATGCTCTCATTTAAAGAAATTGAGTTTCTATTACAATTTTTAAGCAATAAGGTCTTATTCTTTCATAGAAGTAACTGTATGACATTAGCCGGTAACATTAAACTTTATTCAAAGAAAATCCATTTACAGAATCAAAAGATATGACAGAATTTGTAATATAAATTTTTGCGTAAAATTCTATTGGCCGAGCCTGACTTTTCGCATGAAGGTTCATATTTAAGAAATTGTACCGCATTAATGTAATTTGTTAGAGACATGTCAAACCTATATGACTGTATTTGTATAACACTAAATTACTAGGAAATGAGTATAAAGTTTGGCTTAACTTAAATTTTGGATTCATTTAGGTCTCAACCCGGTACGGAATTAGACCCAGCCCATTGTAGTCTAGAAAGTAGTTCTTTAAAATTATGAAATGGCCCAATTTAAGTCATCTCTAGTTAGATTGTTCATAATTAAAGTGTATTTATTGCATGTGTGTAGTTTTTGTGTGTTATATGATGACTTTAAAAGTTGTTTTTTGTGTATTCTCCAGGAACTCATTTGTTGGTGGAAGGATTAAAGATGTACTACCCACCAGCTGTCAGGAGTTTTTAAAGTGGTGAATTTAAACAGTGTTACAACAGAATGAAGATTTCTGAAAAAAGTAGATGGCTAACCTATTATATTTTGGGCATCATTTGACTTAGATAGTGTTAATGTTTAAAGTTGAAGACAGTATATAATTCATCAAGAACATTGGAATCCAGAATTAAACCTCAAATTTGACTGATTTACTATAGAACTAATAGTACGAAAATTCACCGGGCCGAGTCCAAGATAAGAAATGTCAAAAATGGGAACTGGTTGATGGATATGGATGAAACTTTGCATCAGTGTTGTGTTTATGAATAGAAGTCAGGAAAATAAAGGATTACTGACAGGTTTGAAAATTTTAAATTTTATTTCAAATTTTAAAATTTGACATTTTAAATTGGGACATATGTTGTTGTTGTTATCTCCCCTTCAAATGTAGATGTCTGCTACTGTGTCAGTAAGCAGGGAGAAGGGTACAGAGCTTTTGCATGAAAGATTAACCACATTTTATTGAATTAAAACTGTAAAAATAAATTTAGAATTAAAAAATGAAATTTAAATTTTGTAAAAAGCAGTTTATAAATTGATAAATTTTATTTTTGCACCCTGTGTTAAGCAATATGCTATAAATCTAGCTTATTTTTATAAGATTTATATAGAAAATGATAATTTTTAGAGAAATGCATCTTAAATTATGGATAAATTATGCATTGAAGGAATTGGGGAGTGTGTGGTTTCAGATTGGTTACATTGGTAAAAAAAGTGATTGGCAAGCTCATTCCAGAGCTCTCTAAGGGGCCCAAGATTCACCGGCCATGGGATTCGAACAAGCACCATAGTAGCCTATTGCTCATATGGACCACACATTATATGTTTTGATGTTTCAGCAAAGGATTGATGCTGTAGTAATCAGTATGTAAATATTCACTATTGTCCTGTATTTAAATGAAGAAGAACTAACAATTGAACAGGACAAATGTGATTTATATTTTGGAAATATAGGCATTTTCAGTGTAGTGAAACTTGATGTTTTGCTGTGTTGCAGAATGTATTTGCTAGTAATATATACACATAAAAGATTTTCTAGTCATTAAACAGTGTATTTTATGGATAATTGGCTCATTTAGAATAACACAGTTGATATAATTGTTGTTGTTGTTGTTGTAGCTGCTACAGCAGTTAAATTAGGTTAGGTTTATAATGTCTAAACTGCTATTTTCATGCAGGCATGCATTTTTCAGAACACAATATTTATATAAGCTCTCCTGTGTGAATTAGCAAATCTAGCCATTTATTAATTAAGACATTATTTTCTTTCTTTTTCAGATATTAGAATTACAGCATAAATGCCCCTTATAATTTTCTTAAGCATGTACTAGTGTTGCATATTTTTTCAGACCATGCAGTTGCCAAAGCCTGGGTTTGAGTATATGACCTTACCTTATCCTGGTAAAGATCTATGGAAGGACTCCTTCAGCTCTGTTTGGCAACAGCTTTGTCAGGACACATTGAGAAGGTAATAACTTATGTCTAGTTTGAAACCTCAGCTATTGGCGGTAGCGCCTCCCAATGCTCGGGCAATATTTGGTAGTTATTTTGATGTATTTCAGGAGAAAATTTCTCTAATTCTGACTATATTAAGACTTCTCAATGATTTAAAGTGGGGGACAGTATGTGTCATCTTTTTAAAGCCTTATTTGTGTGAGAGTTGGCTAATCTTACTTTGTCAGAAGACACAGCCCATGGTGATATGGTAACCTCTTTGCTAACCTTAAGATTACCTCTGTTTGTCTTTATTGATATCTTAAGCAAACAATGTAGGGTGTGTATGTTGGTTCTTTACTTTATTTACCATGGAATATAGGTAAAAATCATAATCAGTAAGTTTTATTACAATATTGAAGGAAAAAAATTTGAAAAAAGCACATTTAATTGTGATTACTTGTATTTTAACCCAAAATTTCATGCTCTCATTTAAAGAAATTGAGTTTCTATTACAATTTTTAAGCAATAAGGTCTTATTCTTTCATAGAAGTAACTGTATGACATTAGCCGGTAACATTAAACTTTATTCAAAGAAAATCCATTTACAGAATCAAAAGATATGACAGAATTTGTAATATAAATTTTTGCGTAAAATTCTATTGGCCGAGCCTGACTTTTCGCATGAAGGTTCATATTTAAGAAATTGTACCGCATTAATGTAATTTGTTAGAGACATGTCAAACCTATATGACTGTATTTGTATAACACTAAATTACTAGGAAATGAGTATAAAGTTTGGCTTAAATTAAATTTTGGATTCATTTAGGTCTCAACCCGGTACGGAATTAGACCCAGCCCATTGTAGTCTAGAAAGTAGTTCTTTAAAATTATGAAATGGCCCAATTTAAGTCATCTCTAGTTAGATTGTTCATAATTAAAGTGTATTTATTGCATGTGTGTAGTTTTTGTGTGTTATATGATGACTTTAAAAGTTGTTTTTTGTGTATTCTCCAGGAACTCATTTGTTGGTGGAAGGATTAAAGATGTACTACCCACCAGCTGTCAGGAGTTTTTAAAGTGGTGAATTTAAACAGTGTTACAACAGAATGAAGATTTCTGAAAAAAGTAGATGGCTAACCTATTATATTTTGGGCATCATTTGACTTAGATAGTGTTAATGTTTAAAGTTGAAGACAGTATATAATTCATCAAGAACATTGGAATCCAGAATTAAACCTCAAATTTGACTGATTTACTATAGAACTAATAGTACGAAAATTCACCGGGCCGAGTCCAGCAACAAACTCCCTGCAGCGGTTACTTCCCCTGATTAGTACAGTTACAGTAAAAGTAGCAAAGCGTGACGTAACCGCTGTGAGGAGTTTGCCGCAACAACACATCAGTTTATATCATAATTAATGCATATTATGGCCTCATTGACCTCTCTGGCATTATAAATTTACATTTAAACACACAATAAGAACAAAGCATACTTTAGAACCATTCATTTCACATATATAAGGAAACGCAACCGCACTGCATAATTGGTTATTTTCCCTAGGTCCGTACTACATACATAAAGTTGTTTAATTAAAAGAGAATATAAAAGAAAATATTAAAATGTTAAAATTAGGCTGAGACATGTCCATTTCTAGATAAGTTGAATGCGATAATGTAAAACAATGTGACATTATGCTCATATTTTTATAGTCGAGTTGAACTGACTATATATTTCAAAATATTGACTGTTAAAATAGTGATAGACCAACAGTTCATATTGGAAAATGTTTTGAATATAATTTAAATCTGCCTAAAATATAAAAAAGACTGCCCAACTTTTTTATGAACTGAACGTTACAGATAAATTCTAATGGTCATTTACGAAACATTCGTTTTGATCCATGCGTTGTTTATTGTTATTGTGAAATAATTTTTATTTTAAAAGGAACTATGGCAAAATAAAAACTTATTTTGACTGTCACCTATTTACTCATTTACACCCTTGGATGGGCATAATGTCACTTTAACTCATGAGTATAAATATTTTTTTAAAAAAAGATCAACAGGAAGTGTGGCATTCAATGAACGCATCCTCCAACAAAACCCAGCCAAAAAAAAAAACAACAACAACCGACGAACTGCCCAGCAGGAGACCAAAACAAAAACAGGAGTGGGTACACAAATTACATAAAACAACAATTAATGGAGATTTTAACTTCCCGGTTCAAATAGACTGAAGCTCAGTGATAACATCAAACGATGAGACGGCGTGGACAGCAGCTTGCACTTTTCAGTACAGTCCATAAACAGGCTCAAACTAAGCCTGCAACATTTTCAATGACATCGTTTTGGGCTTAATTTTTGATCCGGATTCCATTTTTAAAATAGAGAAAAAACAGAATCCCTAAAAAAACACAAAATGACAATGTTCCCATTTCATGAAAAGCGGCAAGCAACATGATAGTCAATTTTACCGTTTTGGACTTCTTGAAGGCTTCCGTTTGTTCTCTCCATGGTCTGAGGAGAACACACTGGCTTCTGCCAATAAGCAATGATATGATTCAAGACACAGATTGTTCAGGAACGCCATGTTCTTCGAATAGATAATTAAAAGATTCGCCCGTCCTGGCTTCGCTCTCGGACCTGTCTCTTTGTTCGTTGACGTGCTATAGGTGCCATATCGATAGTCCTGTTTGGGGACTGCGTTTAGTGCATGTAGCATTGTAGGTCTCCCTTGCTGATCTTTCTTTTAATATTTCAAATGGTTGACCTTGTCAAAGGTTTTAGTGAACTCTAGCATGATAAGATAGATGTATCTACTGTTGGCTATTTTTAGGCTAGTCCATCTACAAGCTCAATGAATTGTGTCTCACATGGCCGCCTTTCATAATTTATCTATGCCGTAACTCATAGAGGATGTTGTGGCTTTTAAAAATCCTTTTAGATGCGATGGTATGTTCTACACATATTTGGGATATCTCTCCCTGTATGCTATAATGAAAATCATATTTCAGATAAATGTACTGAATGTATTTTACTTGCATTTATAAAAAAGGCCAAATATTATCCTTGAAAAAAAAAGTGTTAAGGGGTATGGAAATTTTCCTCGACAGATAAACATTTAAACATTTTAAAAAGGATTTTCAGGAATATTCTTGTTGCGCTTTATACCAATAAAAATCATTGAAATAGTCTTTAATAAGAAATCTATGATGATTGGACAGACATTGATTATTATTACTTTAACCTAATCACATTAATTACAAAAAAAAAAAATATTGCCTCAACCATTCTCATCAAGTTACAAAATTATAATAATAAACACTCTGATGAAAATACAAATACAGATAAAAAATTGCCGTGAATATTCTAAAGCTCGGAGGATAGCCATGGCGTGATGTTTGGGGGAAGAAAGAGAGTGTGTTTTAGGAGGGGGTTGGGATAGCAACAAGATTATGGTGAATCTTGAAGAAAAGGGATCACCTAGCAATTATATGTTTGAGTTCTTATCTGCGGAGATTAAACGAATGGAGCATATCCGTAACGCTAGATAAAGCTTTATCCAACAGGCCGCTTTTCTTTGGACATGTTTGTGTTTAAATGCCAGCTAGTACTTCGAATTAATACTGAAGCTGGGGTCTGATTAATGGCTGTTAAGATTTGGACTTAATATATTGTGATTTATCTCTATGAACCTTATTGTTTGGTTGCTCGTTTATGAAAGTTATCCTTATTTGCGGCCGGCATGGATCCGGACCGGCCTGCGCGTCCGCTCGGTCTGGTTGGGATCCATGCTGTTCGCTTACAAACCCTATTACAAGTAGAGAAACTGTTAGCGAGCAGCGTGGATCCTGATCGGACTGCGCGGGTGCGGGGGCTGGTCTGGGTCCATGCTGGTCGCGGGCCCATTGTGTTGGTTTTGTCGTGACGCGGCTCATTTGTGTTCAGACCGGGTATGTCACGCGGATATAGGTCACAGACTACACGCGCATTAGTCTGTAAATATAAAAATAGGAGCGTTGCCTTACGTAACGCTTCATCGACATAACAAGACAAATTGAGATGATAATAAAAATCGTTCGGTGTACATTAATTTCGTTTCAATCAACTTTTCTCCGCCTATAAGTTTTTTTTATTTTATCATTTTTGAATCAATTTGTTATATTTGAATATAATAATTTTCTCACAATTTCTCGTAGCCAGAAGTTGTGTACAAAAGAAGAAACTTTAAATCAACTTTTCCTTTTCTTTATGAAAGGATCCTCACTTTTCTAAAATGCGATCTTTGCTAGCCTACTTTGTCCTATTTTTTACCCGAATTTAATTGTTTCATAATTTTTGAAATGTATCATGTTGTCACTTTTTGTGAACTGATGAAAAATAAAGATATTTTGACTTTGACTTAATAATTTACCGAGGTAAACAATTCTAGTTGTAATCCATGAAGGCAGTATTGAGTTATAACTTATAGGGTGTTGCCTTTTTGTGGATATATCTTGACATTTGAATTGGCTAGATTTTATGTCCAACTACAATTCAAATACAAACATGAAGCAATTATCATAGTATTGCAAGCAATCCATAAGTCCCCTACCGGTTAGAACCCCAGCAACATTCTGAAGGGCCATTGGCCATTCACTTATGTTTCTATTTTAAGTAAATTTGTTGAAAAAGTTTTTTTTTTAAAGTGATCACAGGAAACAGTTTTTATGTACAGACAGACAGACGGACTGAAGGACACTCTAAAGTTATTTTTTAAACATCCCTGTTATCAAAATATAACATTTTTAAAAGCAAAATTTTTAAAAAGGAGATAACTCTTGAAATAAAGATGCAAGATGTCATACATGATGTGAGTGTAACACAGAACAATTAGTAATGAAGGTATGGATAATGAATGTTTATTTTGAATTTGAAGTAAAGGAAAGTTAAAAGAACGAATAGGAAAAATAAAAAGTTTAAGGAGGAGATTATTCTGGAAATATGGATGCTAGATTTATAAACCTTGTCATAATTATTATTATGATGTGGGAGTTTGAAGAAAATCCTATCATGATTGAAGAAGTTGGAGTAAAAATTACCAATTTCTCGAAAAAAAGTCTAAGTTCAAGAGGAATAATTCTGGAAATAGTCTTGCTAGAGTATTGAACTTTCTCACAAATGTTGAGTGATAATAAGAAACATTTATATGAAGTTTGAAGTAGATACATTCAGAAAAAAAGAAGTAATTAAAAAAAAAAACAATATTTTTTTTCATGAAAATTTTAAGTTCAAGGGAGGTTATTCTGATAAATTTTGTCCTAGAGTTGTAAACCTTGTCACATATGATGTGGTTGATGACGAGCAACTTATATTTAAAGTTTGAAGAAATTATCTTAAGAAATAAAGAACTTATAGTGAAACAACTTAAAAACTAGAATAAGAAATCTTGAAATTCAGTCTATTTGTTGCCATAGCAACCAGAATTTTCAGCATAGGAAAAAAAAAGAAAAAGACGTGCATAATCTCCATACTGCCATCTATCCATATATTAAGTTTCATAAAAATATTTTCAGTACTTTTTGTGTTATCGCGGGATCCAGGTTATGTGTAAAATTTGCCATATTTTCAGTCTATGGTACCGTGTTAGCTTGGGTGGACTCGTACCTGCGACCTCGTAATTGTCGCGTCAGTGTTAATTCTACTGAATCGACTCCACGATTGCTGGAATGCAGTGTACCTCAGGGGAGCTGTCTTGGTCCGTGGCTCTATCTCACATATGCGGGAACCCTATTTGATGTGATACCACCATCCATATCTGTGTACGGCTTTGCTGATGACCACATTGCTAGTCAACGCTTTCGACCAACTTCAGTGACCAATGAACTTAACGCTATAAAGCAACTTGAAGACAGTGCTGTAATCATCAATGACTGGATGAATGCCAATAAACTCAAAATGAACACCATTATGTTTGGTAGTAAAGCCCAACTTGGTAAATGTTCAATTAAAGAAATTGATATCGCCGGTGATAAAATTCAAAATGTCAGTGTCATAAGATACTTAGGTGCCTACTTAGACGAGGGCCTAAGATTCTCAACACATGTTAAGACCAAGTGTAGAACTGCTATGTTAAATTATTTGAGAATAAAGAGCATTCGCAAATAACTGACTCAGGACGCCACAAAAATCCTAGTATTGTCGCTTGTAATCTCACATTTGGATTATTGCAACGCTATATTGTTTGGCATTTCAGAAAGTGAGTTACAGAAATTACAGCGTGTCCAGAATATGTGCGCTAAACTTGTTTTGCAACGCGGAAAATATGATAGTTCCAAAGACTCTTTGTTGGAACTGCATTGGTTACCAATTAAAGCTAGGATCAATTTTAAAATACTATGTACAATGTATAACTGTTTTATGGGCAATGCTCCGGTTTATCTAGCAGAACTGTTACACAAGCCTGTCATAAAAAGACCAAATCTCAGATCTGTTGATAATATGGATTATTGTTTTGCTGTCCCTTTAACAAAAGGAAAACATTTGACGACAGAAGTTTTAGTACCGTTGGTCCAACTCTCTGGAATAAATTGCCTCTGTATATAAGACAGTCTTCGACTTTGGACATGTTCAAGAAAAATGTCAAAACCTACTATTTTAGAGATTTTTACGCATTGTTTTAAGATTGTGATTGGGCTGTAAACTGATAGAGATGTGGAAATGTGTTTGAAATTTTACTGAAATAACCATTAATTTTTATTTTCTTTAAAATTATTTTTTATTGTTATTTTCTATAACTATTCTTTCTTTTTTTAAAGTTTTTAATACTTTATATTTTACACGGCTGATATCTTTAACATATTTTTTTTGTAGTTCATTTGCCATGCATATGTGTTGTTTTTTATCTATATGTACATACTTTTATTATCCTTTTGTACAACGCCATTGAATATGTATATAGAAATAGGCGTTTAATTAAATAGAACAGTTTCAGTTTCAGTCTATTTGTTGCCATAGCAACCAGAATTTTCAACATAGGAAGAAAAGAAAAAGACGTGCATAATCTCCATACTGCCATCTATCCATATATCAAGTTTCATTAAAATATTTTCAGTACTTTTTGCGTTATCGCGGGATCCAGTTTTGTGGACGGACGGACTAACGGACGGACAGACGGACGGACGGAGGGTAAACCTAAAGTCCCCTCCGGTAAACCGGTAGGGGACTAATAAAGCAGACGGAAACAGAACGCATCTTCTTATCTCTTTATTGCATTACTGCATTACCGAAATCGTGTTGACTTTTGTTTAGAAGGAGATTTTCCTAAATTTCCTTTCATTGCAGTGCAGACTTTAACTACCTGTGATCATCAGAGAGGCTGCATTGTTTTTTAAAACGACATTACTGTAATAAGGCTAGTTTACTACAAAATGACAGGTTTCCAGTCAATCACTTATTCAGCCTATTGATTCTAAACGTGATACGGTAGAAACAGGGTCAAATTTGCAAACACTACAGTTGCAGCCGCAGTGCAAAATCTGGAACTCGCACCCGCTCATTTTTACTGATTGCTATTCACGAAAAATATAGCCATTCATAAAGCATATTATATTCAAAATGACAAGTGAATAAAACATACAGGAGATTTGGAATATTTAATAAGATGATCAACACAACATTCAAACTATGTCATTTTTTTTCTCATGTAACAAACAACATCTGTCACCAAGCAAAAGTGATTACTAGAATAACATACAACATAAAACAGTTAACAGTTAAATTCCTGAGATTGACTTACGGACAGTTAAATAAATTTGGATTTCCTCGTAGAAGACTTTGTACAATAGCCATATATTTTCATAATGTAACACTAAAGAAACAAGTCTGTACATGTCGTATTTCACTTCTTTCAACACTAATTTATCAAAGTATAAGATGTCTTATCCAGCATGTCTGTCATCTTGTTTTTCACGATCTCTCAATGTTTGTATCAGAGATAAAACTATGCTAAAACAACAAAATAGGTATATATTTTAAATTTACAAACATCTACCTTCCTATGAATTGTCACTATCATGCTAAAGCTAAAATCATGCCCGTGAAGGAGTCAGTAAATACACGTCACTAATAACCAACGTTCTTAGCGCTATCTAATAATGACGGAAATAAAACAAAGCGAAGATCATCACAAAAAGAACGCAGAATTTGTGAAGCCAGTGTCCGAGAAAGTACGACAAGCTTCTATGATCGTGGACCACATGCGGGGCCTCGAGGGCGAAGAAGATGAGGCTCAACCAGAAAGCCAAGATGGCGGCATCCTCCCAGTTTTTAATGGTGAAGTATTGCCTGGTAAAATAAAGAAAATATAAATATTTAATTCTGTTATGAATATAAATTGCATTGACATTTGATTCAAGTACACGACAAAAATCAATTCATGCAAGATCTAATTATTCACATTCATCTGAACTTTTACATTCAAGAACAAACTGTATTCTGAATGTGTTTTGTTTCTTCAGACAGACTCCTATCTATGCTTGTGTTAAAGATTTAAACCATTTGCCACGATAATTTTTCAGCAATGAAGAAACTGGTCATAATCATTTAAACAATTCATCACTTTCACCGAAAGAGACATCGTTCTGTTAGAGAACGATTTTAAGTAATTTGCTATTTAAATGTTTGATCGAAAATTCATTTTGCATTTAGGTTTAATTGTTCGTACATGTATGCAATGTTTATTTATATAGATCTACTTATATAGCCATTAAAGTTATATGTTTTCTCTCTAGTCATTGTATTTATGTTAACCTACAACCGGCTAGGATTTCAATGGTCTGATCATAGATAATCTCAACAGGATTCAAAATAAATGTATAATATTGAAATTATTATCACTAACGGCAAAACCGGTCCTGATGAATAGTACTCTTGATTGAGAATTCATTTGCTGCGAGATGGCAATTATGCCGGGTAAAAATAGCTCTGTATAAAAGAATTGTATATAAATTGTTTCTATAAAATGACCGAGTGGTCGTAGAACGATAACGGCACATTAATGTACATGTATCTATATATAAGAATAGGCCTATTTACCCCATGATCCATTTCAGTATCACGACAAGAATAGCTTGGCAGACGATGGCTGAGAGCAAGTAGCGTTCCCCTATACTCCTTCCCCAAGACGAATGATGGTTGTAGAAGAAGAAGCTAACAAGCTCTCCCAGCACAGCCGCAATAACCATAGCAACGTTGAACGAAATGTGGAAGTCAACCATCTTGAAATTTTATTTTCTTAACACAGCTTAACCTTGTAGTATATATTACACTGAAAAAGAGAAAATATTATATATCTTTAGATAAAATAGAACACGATAACGTATACATTACACGGTAGTATCATTACTACCATTATGATATAATGGGTTGTGCAAGTGATTCATTTGTTACATTTTTTTGCAACATAATAGAAGAAAAGTGGGTATGGGTGCGTTAACCCGAGTAGGGTAGTTGTTAGAGCTGCTAACGTCTAGGTTTTGAGTTAGAATTTGCAACATTTTGAGCACATATTTTGGTGTATGACTTATTTCTCGAATATTTTTAAGTTTGTCAAAAAAAAATGATAAAAATGCCTTTTTCCAAGATTCGAACAAGGGTCTCTACACATATGTGACTTTCAAGGATTAAAGTTAGGGTCTCTATACATACGCAGCGAACGCTGATATAACGCTGTGGCATATATAAATATAACATTGTTAAAGTTCAGGTTGTAAAAGATTTAGGCGAATTATAGTGTACTTTTATATAAGACACCCATATTTGCCAATATTGACGTAAACAGATAATGAAAATAATGGCGAACTCGAGTTATAAAACTTGTAACAAAAGCATATATACATGTATAGAGAACAAGTACAATTAAATTTCGATACTACTTTCTCACGCAAATACAGCACTATCGTACGTCCATAATTACACTAACCTAAACTCGCAAAATATTTAAGAAAAACATTGAAGGATATCGATATAACTAAAATGTTATATATTTTCATATATCCAGCGGTAGACACATAAAAAATTTTGTCAAATAAAAAATCTTTAAAAGATAAAATATTAATTATGATACATTGTTAATATTGTAAAACAGTTTGTTTTATGACAGGGAAATACAATAAATAATGGGCCTTTTTGTTTCTTACATTATTCAATATGGATGTGAAATATTAAATATTAAAATGCGCATGTCTGTGTTACATTGCATGTAGCAGTAAGCACATTATGCTTACTGACATGAAGTGTTTTGCGTTACATACTTTGCAATATAATAATTCAGAATGAATTCAATTTTATTTGCCATCAATTTTGTGTTACATAAAATGGCCAACAGAATAAATATATTGAAACCGTTTTAGAATATAAAAAACTTCTTTGAACTGATTTGAGAAAATTCGGTCAGTTTTTACCAAAGTATTTCGTCAGCACAATCTGACTGATAGTTTAACCCAGCACACTTTTTCCACAAAACCAACATAATGGGTTTGCGACCAGCATGGATCCAGACCAGCCTGCGCATCCGCGCAGTCTGATCAGGATCCATGCTGTTCACTTTTAAACCTTTTAACAAGTAGCGAAACTGATAGCGAACAGCATGGATCCTGATCAGACTGCGCGGATGCGCAGGCTGGTCTGCATCCATGCTGGTCGCAAACGCACTATGTTGGTTTTGTAGTGACGCGGCTCAATTAACGTATCACATTTCACGCAAATTGACTTTCCACACAAAGTGACCCAGGGCACACGAATATAGGCGCGTTTACAGAAATTCTGGTGCTTATCAGAAAGGTATAGAATGTTAATCACTATATCGACATAGAGATTTTAAGTGTTTCCATGGTTTCGATACCTCATCATTTCATATAAAAATAAATCAAACAGCTGACAGTTCTTCAGTATTATCACCTAAAAAGCCAGGTTTAATACTCTGTCGGTTAACACTTGATAAAAGTCGTCCTTGAAAGTTTTATACATAAAAAACTCTTAATACTCAATGTAGAAAAAATGACAAAACGCTTGAGTAATTGAACCGAATAGCCAACAGTTGGCGAAAAAATGTGAGACTTTACAGCGTACTTGAATATGCAATGTACCACATCCGTTCATGTATAAAACGCTTTTATTTGTTTATTGTTCAAATGTTACCAGGGCATTACATTGTGTACAAAGGACGTTTCTCAAACAAAACTGTCCGCCTTTAAATACAAAGTTTAAACATCACAGTCAACATTGAAACAGCTGTCTTTTTAAAATAATTCGTCCCTATGTATACGTCAATCTCACTCGTTCTACATACATTTGTTATTCATATATGCTATGTCTTTTACACGGTAATACTGTGAAAATACCTCTCCGTGTGAAACTATTTGTTGGAATCAATCTAGATTTCTACGCATAATGACCACTATTTGACCCGATTCTTAAACAATATATCGACCTTGCAGAATCATGTTATATCAACTGTATTATTTTCAATAATTAAGCGCGTAATTGGTGCGCCGTATTCTGTAAGATTAACATTGCTGCATTGCGCCAAAATATTACCGCTCTTTGTTAATCATATTAATGCTGAATACAAAAATCTTTTTACTTTAAGCGCATAACAAAACTTTGATGTTTATAAGCATGTTAAAACCTAAATCAGAGAACAAAGTAAACAAAAAGCCAAAAGTATTACCTTTCTTTTGTGACCGATCCACAACCAAAGTGCAGAGCTTGTATTATTGTGTTACAAATTTTCGTTTTATTTGCCGAACAGAAAATCGATGAATCAGTCGTTTGTTTATAGAGGACGCTACGAAAATAGGTCAGTTGGAGGCGTGTTGCGCTAGTTTAACTCTGCTGGAACCAGAATCTTAAGGCCACGAATAAAATATATTTGGTTAACGTATCTTGTTGCTTACATTAACAAGAAAATATTACATACATTCGTATGTAATATAGGTACGATTGCATACTACTTTTTGTGAAGACTTTATGTTTGCTGAATTAAAGGTGTAATGTAAAATGAACAAACATGTCATGAGATATCTTATATCTTTAAACATTTTCATGGAATGTGATTAACGTATCACTATATTAAAGTTGCATGCCTTCAGATGAGAAAAATGATTACAAGGAAATCAAAATATGAAAAGAAAATCCACTGTCAATTGACTGCTTTGAAGCATAATCACAAAATAAAATTACAGGAAATTAAAAACCTTTTTAATACACTTAAGGTAGAATTTCATTGTAAATCATAGTTAAAGATTTGAGATATGATTATTTATTCATATTAACCTCATTATTGGTTATATATTGATAAAAAAACCCCGAAAGACACAGTTTGTAAATATTCATTACAATAAAATATGAAAAAGGTATACGCGCCGAGGTTACCTATAATTAAAATTCCCGCGCTAAGTCGCGGTGGTGCTCGGGATAATCTATTTGATACTTTTTAACGATACGAATCCTCGATACTGTATATATGGCAGCCATTTTATCGATTTACTCTTTGCACACTTTTTTCTCTGCTGGACGATACGAATCCTCGGACAGTTTATCCTGCCGAAAAGATATGAAAAAGATACTTGCAATTTCAAAGTTTGCTGGCTACATAAAGATTATCGATTTACTCTTTGCACACTTTTTTCTCTGAGACTAAACCTATTGTAAAAACAAGTAAAATGGTTTCCTGCGGGGAACATATTAATGATATAAAGATATTTCATTTAACTATTTTCAACATTGTTTGGGGGGGGGGGATAAATAAACGTTGGTTAATCAGGAATAAAGTTGACAATAATCGATCAATGTAGAAAAAGGTCTTTGGAAACTGGTGACCGTTGATGACCGAAGAAGGTCGAACATAAAACAATTATTTCTTTTTAAGAACATGATTAAATAGGCTACCATTTTATTGAAAATTCCCGAGCAAAATATAAAATAAAGTAAAACACACAAGTCTTCGCAGAAAAATTATCTCTATTTATTATGCAGATTGCCCACTTACGAATATTTTAATTTTGTAGATTTTCAAGTATAAAAAACAATTTATTGTTTTGTAACATTTTGAGATACCATATTAAAGAAAAATTGATAATTTTTCAAACACATCATTCAAGTTTTTCCACCTTAAAGGGTAAAAATAGTTATGGAAAATTAAAAATTATCACGTTTAATAGTTTTTTTTTTCTTAATTTAGGTTGTAATTCTGACTGATTTTTCCCTTTGGGGATTATCCGTAACGTACCGGCAAACGGTATATAGCCAGGTTTTCGAAAAGGTCAATTAACCAATCATGTACGGTTTACAGATCACATGCTCCTCCATGTACCGAAAACAGGTCACGTGCTCCTCCATGTCTCAAAAGTTAAACGCGTACCAATACCCTGCGGTCTCCAGACCGCATATCCTGCGGTCTCCAGACCGCAGGGAATAATACTATGACCACAGCAGATTTCGTACATAAAATATGCTTTCTTACACACATTATGTTTTAATTTTGAAAACGGTTGATATAAAACATTTAACAATTTGTTGCTTTTGACAAGTTTTCATTAATTATTTTAAACCGAAGTCTTTGGCACAACAAAAATATTTTAGCACGTGTATTAAACCATGGGAGAAACAAATGAAATAAATTTTCAAGTAAACGGTACGTAAACTAGCAGGTCTTGTTAGATTTAATGTGTAATAAATTCGGTTGCCGCTTTCAATAGGAAAAATAAATTAGAAAATATAATTCGTATGCTGTAATAAGTTTTTAAATTTCTGACAAAATTAATATCAATCTGTGTTAGATAACAGGCCAAAATCAAAATTCACCCTATTCCTGTTCAGTGCCCAGCGTGTCTTTCCTCGTTCTACCTAATAATGACCAAGAATGACAGGAACCCGGCCAAAGTTGACTAATCTGTCAAAGATGTAATATGTGGTTTTGTATGCGAGTTTATCATGTTATTATTTAAAAGAATATTCGGAAAAGTTTGTTGCAGATCTAATAAAAACAATGACCTCTGGAGTGTCAACAGCCCTAAATGTAGGCCAGTCTAATTACAGTAAGACACCCTTTTGGTATATGTTAAATACTCTTTATTTACAATGATTATTTTGATATTTATCAAAGTATTAATTAACTAACATATTGTCTCACTTACGGGAAGTAACTGCGATTGTTTTATTATACCATTACACATTGAATTATCTCCCTTCTATAAAAGAGAATATAGGCCACTTCTATGTCTAAATTTAAAGATAATTCTGCTCCGTTTAAACAGATTTATTTCTGTATGAATTCATAGTGTATAGTTTCAATCTACCACTTTATGCCAATGCATTCAAAGAAAGAAAAAAATATTGCCAACAAAACATATTAAAATATTACAGATGGATTTGTACTTGCCCCTTGTCAAACTACCTCAGGGAGACAATTCAAATCTAATGGTGTCATTGAACGTGCATAGTTACTCTCCTTAGATTATCATGGATCGAGAAAAAATGTAAAAGTTTTCACTTTTAACAATAAACACAATAGATAAATCTTTATCTGTGATATATAGTTGTCTTGATGTAATAAGATCGACCTCTACAATGTTGATGGCAGGCAATAGTAACCACAGAAAGACTGATCCTAAAAGTTCACTTGTTTTTATATGCTCAGGTGAGCTTAAAAGGTTTGTATGGTGATTGCATAGGTATGAAAGTACCCTCCACAGAGCTTCATTTAGCAGAGCAGACTGGCATTTCTACCAAGATACTTTCTGAAGTTTCTGATCTATTCAGTATCTTACTGGCACCAAAAAACTATATGTTATAATGAAAATACAAATTTGAAAATATACACTATTGTTTACCAATTCAAATGTAGATAAGTTGGCAACTTATTGAAAGTACATGTTACTATAAGATCATTAAAAAAAAACTCAAAAAGTGTTAGTTCGATATAATTTTAAATATAAATTTGCATTTCATTACCTTGTAGAAATGCCAGGAGCAATTTCTAAAGAAATTATTGTTAAGTTTTAAATGAATACAGTCGAAACTGTCTTAAGCAGCCAGCCAAGGGATGCAGTCATTTTGGCTGCTTAAGACAGGTGGCTGCTGAATGGAGGATCCAGTTTTTATCCAAATAAATTATTCATTTCTTTTTAAAATAAATCTGATTTAAGTATAAATAAACCAGTCTGATTCATCATCAGTTCAGGGTTTTTAACAATTTACAAAAACGTATGCTTTTATGGTTTAATATGTACCACAATCCTTCCAACATACAGATAAACAAACTGCACTCACGATTTTTATGTCAATAATTGAAACTATATTTTTAATCCCATAAAAATATCTTCTTGCAAAAATAATTTTAAAATGCGTATTTTTTTTTTTCCAACAAAAAAAGTATGACAGTTTCCTTTTTTCTAAAAACTTTTGATCAATAGAATAATTTGTGTTACACATCATCTAAGTGTCGTCCAACTTCCTTTTTGATGTTTCGGAATTTCGAAACAGCAACGTCTACAGGTTTGTAAACATCAAAGAATTTCCTTTGAAGAGACCGCTAGTTACCTCTTAGAGGTCATCTAGTGTGTAAAAACTTAATGGGGTGTGATTTAACAGTGACCTCATTATATTCATGCAATTTTTTATTTTCACACATGGTGAAAGTGTTTTTATGAATTTATTACTGAGGAATTTAAAGAACAATCGGCGATGTAATTCATTTTCATTTCTTTGGTAAGTACCATGTACGCACAAAATTTATCTGAAAATCGGGATAAACTGAAAATTTTCTTTCTGCCATCGACAATTGATTTTTTCTTCTTTCTTTTTTTCTTAAAAATCGGTAAATTGAAAAATAAAAAACTAGCGTACAGTAACTCAAAAGAACGAATTGCAAGTGCGTTGAGACGTTCCAAACGTTTGTAATTACGACACGGATGAAAGCAATTATGCAAACTTCTTAAAATGTTGTGGTTTGGTGTTAATATCTAGCACTGACAAGTAGCTTTTGTTAATCCGTGACACGTGTCATCTTTGAAAATAAAATGACAGAAGTTTGCCGGGCCGTTTCAACCTGGCTGACCAGCAGAAGATTGCATGGCCGTTTCACTAGCTGACCGCTTAAGATGACCGACTTTAAGATTCGGGAAGCATTTTAGGTGACCGTTGACCGCGGACAGCAAGGTGACCGTTGAACAGATGTATAAAATAGAGTGGTTTTCGTCGGGAGCGTCACAAAATGGCCGTTAAGGTCAGGTGACCGCCGATAAGAGGTGACCGTTAGTACAGTTTCGACTGTACTTTCAATAGCTGAGCCTGTGTATATCAACCTTGCACAGTTTTTTTTTCAATCCATAATTCAGTTAAAATCTATGCATGTTATTAATTTTGAATAGTGACCTATTATTATGATCTCCAAAACATGTGTTAAATTTAAAGTGAATATTTTTATTGGCAGTTATGGAGATTGATCTTGCATTCAAAACTATAACATAAACCAGGAATATTCTGTCATGAATGAGTTATGGACCTTAGAAGTAAATCTAGAATCAATATTTAGAAAACTTGTGTGAAGTTTGAATAGAATTCCTTCAGTGGTCGATGAAGCATGAAGTTGGACTGTGTTATTATGTATGTAACTATGGCCCAATTATTCAGAAGTAATCAAGCTAAAAACAAAGAGAACAAAAATTTTCTATAATTTATCACACACATCAATATATAAACTATTAACAAATTTCAGTATAGTTCTGACAGTTCTAGTTTTCAAACTTTGAATAGTCATTTCTATTCATTTTACTAATCTGTTACAAAAGAAAATGTGAATTCTTGTTTAATAAAATGCAACTTGTAGAAATCATAGATATTATATCCAGACCGATGTAACTGCTTAACTGTTCAAAATTGATCATTAAATTTCCACTACAACAAATTAATGTTATTTTTGGTATATCAAATGTCTATTGTTTTCCATAGAAGCCCTCTCCATTAATGTTATACCCAACGCCTGGTAACTTTGGCCCTATTCTTCCTTGTGAACTTGTTATATTTCTGAAAATAAAGATGACATTCATGAATTGAATATAGCATACATTCATGAGAAAGAAAACACATTTTTGTTGTCATACCATGCCATGATGCAAACAAAATGGTGTCAGACATTGAATATGTGAACACCGTGCACAAACTAACCTAAGCTTGTATCCATTATAGTAAATCCATATAAATTTTAGTGAAGTAAGAATTAAGGAAAAGGCCATGAAGAACAAAATGCAATAGTTAGTTTTAGAAGTTAGTATATACATACTTTTATGAATCACAAAAAGTAAAACATATGCAAAAAAAAAGTTCTGCAAAGCCATCTACTATGTGTCCCATCTACTATGAGTGATATGGATTTTATTTCACAGATAAAACAGAAAGTGAAAAAGAACATAATGTCACTTTTAAACAGCATGTAACTGTATAATTTCATACCCTTTTCCAGATTCTATTGCCATTGTTGTACTGCCAGTATATATATGAACTGGGGGTGATTCCTCTCTTCTTCCATCTCTAGTATAGTAGTAATTATCTGATAATTTATGTGAAGGACCATCTGGCAAAATTGGTGGTGGCATTGACCTTGAAAATGTAAATTAAACATGTGTAAAGTTATGCTGCTACAAACTCCAAAATGAATTAGGTAAAATCATAACTTATAATGACACAAAGCCCACACACATGTAATAGAGCAAAATAACGGCCCCTGTAAACACAAAAAGATACTTAATTCTAAATCCAAAGGTCTCAAAAACTACTAATTGAAACTAACATCTTCAAATACACAGAGTACCCCAGAAAGGAGCAAATTTAAACAAGTTCAGTACAATATTATTCATTATTTTCATACCATGTTGTAAGTCACCTGTATAATTAATTATATATATAAAATCAATCTGAAAAATAGAAGTGATAGCAAACATCCATACCTTAGCACAAGGTCATCTGGCATTCTCAGACCATTTTTAACGTGTCTCTGAAAAAGAAGAAAACAAATTAAATACTTTAATATTAAAGCAACTTGCCTTCAGATGATAAAATGAAAACAAGGTTGTCTGTAAGATAGTGCACCCAACTTTTCTCAGTGCTTGACAGTAGAAAAGAAGCATAACTCTGTACAGGGTTCAAACAGAAATCTATAAACTAAATACAAGCACATTTTTATGCCTTTAAGGCTAATTTTGCATTTTCAAGGACATGTCCTGCGATAAATTTCCTGTAAACAATCCAAGTTTAAGCAATGACTACACATATTTCTATAAAAAAGCACAGTGTATACTTTAGGCACTTTATCACAGGCATTATCCTGCATTTTTATTTGTGGAAAATCCTTTTTTCATTGCTTCTCAGTGCACCATGACTTCCCCCCATACTATCTATTTCAATTATGTTCATGCATACTGGCCATTACCCAACAATGGGCCTTTCAAACATTGCATGATTTTATACCAATTGATAATCTAAAAGCCACTTCAACAGGAATTAAAATTTTCCCATTCTTAGACTTTCCTAACAAATTGTTTACTCATGAAAACCAATAATGTTAAAATTTGATATTTTAAGTCTGTTGTAAGTCCCAGTGACGCCAACATAAGGGTGAGATCAATTCAGATGCAGGATTTTCACACAGTTTCAAAAATCATTTTTAAAATGTGTGTGATCTTTGATCAAGTAGTGTGAATCTCGCATCCTAGAATGGACACCGACTCAGTGAAAGTGACTAGGGCAGTAGCTAATAAAGTAACCTTAACTAGAATATTGGTTAATAGTACAGCAGTCCTAGTGAAACTTGAAATGATCTTACACGACACTAGGTCCAGTGAAGATATTTTACAGAACCTTGGTGACCTAAAAAATTTTGTATAATTTTTCCCATTTGAATTATAATAATCATTATGGAGAAGTTTTTGGGGACAAGGAGAGGTGCATACAAATTGCATCTTTGGAAGTGTCAATATTCCATTTAAAATACTTATAAGTTTTAAGATTGTATACTATTTTACGACACTCAGAGCTCCAGATAATTATTTTGCCAAGGGGTTTTTACCCCTCAAAATCTAAAGTGAGGGGTAAAATGCAATTTCTGAAAAACTTAAGGGGTAAAATCTGTCAAAAAAGCATCTTGCGTTTTTTATATAAACAAATTAAACTTACTTTTTTGTGTCTTTTTTATTTTCTTTATTTAGAAAAACTTAACAAACTAGAACTATCGCTGAATGCGATTCATACCCCCACCAATGTCCTTGACAGAAGACCACTTTGAAAGGTGGTTAAGGGAATAACTTATGTGGCACAAATACATAAAAAGAAATTACCTCTGGTGAAAAAAAGACTAATTGTACAGGTAATAGTATAAATATATATTATCAAATCATGTTCGAAACAGTTACAAATAACCTTTCATTTTCCCAATGTATTAAACATTTTATTTATAAGTCAATTTTTGACCTTCAAGTGTGGCCTTGACCTTAATCTGGCACAAGGGTAAGATGGGTTTTGCACATCACCCAGTTTGGTTGAACATTTGAGTAAAGTTTGAAGTAAATCCTTCAATTGGTATAGAATTTATAGAGTAGACACAATATATTGTCTAGTATTGGTTGTATGTAAATTTGAAGACTTAAAAAGGGGCATAACTTTGCCAAAATGCAATACAGAGTAATGAAACTTGACCTGCATATCTTATTTGCCACACCTCATATATCTTTTAAGTTTCAAGCAAGTGCCTGCGCTAGTTTCAGAATCATTCAAGTACATGTTAAAATTTAAGAACATTTTCTAAGTCAATTTTTGACTTTCAAGTGTGACATTGACCTTTAGCCGGCACAAAGGTGACATGGATTCTGCACATAACCTTGTTGAGGTGAAAATTTGAGTAAAGTTTGAAGAAAATTCTTCCATTAGTATAGGATTTATAGAGTGGACACAACATATTGTCTAATATTTGATTGTATGTAAATTTGAAGACTTAAAAAGGGGCATAACTTTGTTAAAATGCAATACAGAGTTATGAAACTTGAACGAACATCATATTGGAATTATGACCCTTCAAAAATATTTTAAGTTTCAAGCAAATACCTTTTCTAGATTTAGAAATATTCAAATAAATGTTACAATTTTAGAATATTTTTATTAGTCAATTTTTGACCTTCAAGTGTGACCTTGACCTTAAGCCAGCAAAAGAGTGACATAAGTTCTGCACATCCCCTGGTTGAGATGAACATTTGAGCCAAGTTTGAAGAAAATCTTTCAATTAGTGTAGGACTTACAGAGCGGACATGACATACTGTGTAATATTAGATTGTTTGATATTTGACCTTCAATTGTGACCTTGACCTTGAGCTGACACATGGGCAACATGGGTTCTGCACATCCCCTTGTTGAGGTGAATATTTGAGTCAAGTTTGAAGAAAATCTTTCAATTAGTGTAGGACTGACAGAGGGGACACAACATACTGTGTAATATTTGATTGTTTGATATTTGACCTTCAATTGTGACCTTGACCTTGAGCTGGCACATGGGCAACATGGGTTCTGCACATCCCCTTGTTGAGGTGAACATTTGAGCCAAGTTTGAAGAAAATCTTTCAAGTAGTGTAGGACTTACAGAGCGGACACGACATACTGTGTAATATTTGATAGTGTTTGATATTTGACCTTCAATTGTGACCTTGACCATGAGCTGACACATGGGCAACATGAGTTCTGCACATCCTCTTGTTGAGGTGAATATTTGAGTCAAGTTTGAAGAAAATCTTTCAATTAGTGTAGGACTTACAGAGCGGACACAACATACTGTGTAATATTTGATTGTTTGATATTTGACCTTCAATTGTGACCTTGACCTTGAGCTGGCACATGGGCAACATATGTTCTGCACATCCCCTTATTGAGGTGAACATTTGAGCCAAGTTTGAAGAAAATCTTTCAAGTAGTGTAGGACTTACAGAGCGGACACGACATACTGTGTAATATTTGATAGCGACAAAGCGAATCCATTATAGCCCCCCCCCCCCACATTTTGTGGTGGGGGTATAATGAAATACTGATTCAATGTGAAACAATACAAAACATGCTCTGTAAAGTCAGATTTCCAGACTTTACTGGAACTAAAGTTTAGGACACACAACAAAATTATCAGGGCTTCCATTTTCAAGATTTGGAAGTCAAAGACTTCAAAATCTCTGATATTGGAAGTCACATTTTATAAGTTAAGGAAGAAAAGTATTAGATTTTGAAAGTCATAAGCCAAAATGAAGGAGTAAATGACTCCCAAACTTCCACTAGTGGAAGCCCTGAAATTATTATATTCTAGGAGTCAATATTTTCTTTCTTTATTTCTGTTGGCATGTACCTTATCTTGTTTTGTTTTTTGTTGCAGCAACAAAAGTGAAAGAAATTAAAATATTAAAATATATTTTTGTTTATATTGAGGCATAAGCATGACAATAGATGCCTAAAAAACTTAATACTATGTTAACTCCTACGATGAATATCTGGCACAAATTTTATCAATAATTTCACAGGTTGATCTACGGGAGTTACCTCCCTTCTGTACTTCCTGCTACTTTCGTTTTTAACATGCCTTGTTGACGACACTCAAAGCAATAAAATAGAAATATATTGATTTTTATGCTCAAAACATCCTCTTTCTAAATATGAAATGTCTACACTTCAATTCTTTCACGCTTAAATTTTGACATACAAGCGTATTTTTATTTTGTTGTGCGTAACTTTGACGCACAAATTTTAAAAGTGATGCGTATTTTAGATTTTCTATGCGTATTTTACGCTTATACGCATGCTATCTGGAGCTCTGGACACTGTATAAGTAAATCGAGCTCGCTTTGAGGCTTTGCCTTTTTATAGCGAGCTCGACGAGCTGGCCCAAAGGGCCTGCTGGCAAAGCGAGCTCTACGGTAACGCGAGTACCTGCTAAGTGATGGTTTTGAAAACTTTCGTTCGAAGTACCGAATTGGACACATAGCAACTTTTTGAATTACAAGATAACGATAAAAGCCGATGTACTCTGATTGAAAACGGAAGTGTAGACTGGTATCCTGTGCACTTAAATGGGAACCATAATAGAAAGGGGGAACCAGAATAAACGGAAGCAGTGTATAAAAAAACAAATGAAAATTTTAAAATGGAAAATGTAAAATGAAAATGAACGATAATTTTAAACTATCTTTATACGGTAAAAGAAAATCGAGCTCGCTTTAAGCCTTTGTCTTTTTCATATGGGGAAGTCAAAGGCCGGGTCCGTGAAGCGGGCCCGGGCTTTGGCTTGCCCGGCTATAGACTACATGTGTATATTTAAAAGAAAATCAAATAAAAAACAATTAAAAAATACATAGAATTCTATACCTATCAATGAAATTTTCAGTGTCAGTTCTAGTCGGGTGGCCCCATTTTTTATGTAATTCAATGATAATAGGCGGGGTATTCCGATAACGGACAATCGCAACTTTTCGGACAAACAATAATCGTCGAGTATTCCGAGTGAAAACGGAAGTGGTGCATATAATACTGAATGACACCTTTAAAACAGAAAAAAATAACTAATTTTTTAACCGACTTCCCCGTTCATAGGCTTTGCCTAATTTCATATTATTATTATAACATGTAGGAGTTTAACTGCAAAATCAGCTGAGGAAACAAGGATGGCATATTAGAAAGATTGCCATAAGAAAACATGTTAACATTGTTAAATAATTAGAAAGAAAAATGATTCAAAAGAGACACATTTGAAAAAGGCAAGAGAACATTGAGAATCAGGAAACAATAACGTTTAAGGCTTTTGAGATGGTAAATATCACAATATTCATTCATTATCTAAATCGGGACAGTTCAAGGACGTTTTTGAGCTGCATTTTATGATTTTGTTTCATTGAATAACAACGTAGAAAAAAATCTAAACCACCAGCATTTTAGACACCTTAAACGAAAAATTAAATATACGTTCAAAATGTCCTTACACGGCACAGAAGATCCGTGAGTTTCCTTATTATCGGTGTTTGTTTTCCGACAGACATTTCTATTTTGTCAGGACTCACTTAGCTCCATGAGCGTCTGTTACATTTGATGAATAAACCTTGTGTTGACACGGATCACCCGAGGTAGGAAAAATTCCGTGATCGTAAACCGGAAGAGCACAACACTAAAATACCGTATTCCGGTATATACCGGACAAGACGCTTGAATGATTACATGCTAAAATATCGCCTTTTAAGCCAACGAAATGAACTTTTAAATGTCTAATTAATCTGTTCACATAGATTTATTCTGATCTAACTGTGTAGTTTTTGAAAGAAGTGCGGACAAATTATGTAACGGGCAGACAGACATATACTGACGACGTAGAAGTGATCCCTATATGTCGCCACACTCTGTAGAGGCGACACAAAAAGTGTTCACTTGGGATAAATCTACGTAATCTTGTAACAAAATTTATTGTCCTATTAAACTGTGTACATAGTCAACAAAAGTCATCGTCAGTATAACTGACACAAGAAAGACAGATATAAAATGTTATTGGTTGCTCTAGCAGTCATTAATTGCTACAGCTTGCTCAAATATTAACTAGCCTTAGCAATTAATGCAGTTTCATCCTATCTTTATAGGAGTGATCAGTATCAAGTCTAGCTGTGCACATCGTCGGAATTTTCCGATTCGATGATTCTTGTCAGAGTTATGGCCCTTTAATAATTTATTTTTTAATGGCTTGCGGCCACAGCCGCAAGCCATTTGTTTTGGAAAAGTTGTTCCGGTTAGGTGGTTTCCTGCTTACATTTGTTAGTGCATGATGGAACGGGACACCAGTCTAGGTTTCCGCTGCAATCGTGAGAATTCGGGAGATTCCGTCATACTGCGGAATCACACGAAGTAATTTTACGGAAATCTAAGCTACTTTTAGTTACTTCGTAATCCCAGTTTGTTTTTCAATTTTTACTTGATTTATCGGTATAAAGCGTAAGTAGAAGGAAGAAATAAATTATAAACGACAATGTTCCGTTTCAATTCGTTTTCAAGACTCAAAAGTTAGTTTTCGAAAAAAAAATCCTAAATAAACCCATTATGATATACAAATAATTAAAAAAATAGTGATAATAAATTGACCCTCTATACCTGTAAAATCATAGGTATGCTACCTTGTTTTTACTGGTATATATAAGGTCAATTTATTATTATTATTTTTTATGATTATTTCTTTATCATACAGAATTGATTTAGAAGGTTTATCCCCCCCAAAAAATCATTTTTAAAGGGATGGGATGATGGCACAACTGGGCACAACTGGGCAAGCCTTTCCTTTTAAAAGGAAACTTTATTTTTTTAGTTTGTTTGGACTACTTTTTACCGCCAATGAAATTTCAATGAAACTTTACAGGATTAATCTGTAACTCACGTACTTGCGCATATTAAACGTGTTTTCCGGTTGAATGATTTGCACTTGGAGCTACATATTTGATATTTGGAATATACATGGATACTTTCAGATACAGCATTTAATTTTGAAATACATGTTAGTCGTGTTAGATTTAGAAGTTTTGGCCTACCTTCTAGTATTTGGAGTTATTGCTTTGAATTTGGACCTGCCAGCAATATGACATGTCACTGAACTTTGATAATAATTGATCTTCAATATGTCCCAGTGACCTACTTTTTGTTTTCAGAGCTTAAGCTGTCGAATTGAAACGAACTGCTCATTGTCAGATGCAAATGTGAACGTTTATATTACTTAGATTTTGACCAAGCACCCGCTTTTCATTCAGTGGTATCAGAATGTACTGTCCCTCGTCATTCAGAGCCCTACTAGTCTGATGAGCAAGGACCATAATGGCCCTCTTGTTTATTTATGTGAAAAAAATATTCTTACTCAAAGATTTTTAAATAAAATAAACACTAACTAAAATACAGGAACACTGCCATTTTGAAATGAATAATTATATTTACTCTATCAACATGTTAATGAAGCGGAAATGACAGTTGAAACCTTTGCAAAACTATTCATACATGCGCAGTGATCATGGTGATGACTTAGAACGCTTATATTGATTAAAATACTTTATAATTTGTGTGCATTTGCAACTTCAAGTACCACAGCATTCCCTCATAATTCAAATTTATCTGAACACTGTCGCATTTACCTACATTCAAAGTACTGTAGCTATTCCATGTATGGCAAACCTATTTTAGTTTTGCTAAGTTCTATTGTCATTCAATTATGATCTTCATGGTCTTGGGTCTTGCGTCATTTTTAGTGAACTATCTCCGGTAAACGTAATTTGACGTCTGGCTTTAATCGGAGAAGTGCTACCGACATTCTCATGATCATGGAACTCTCACAAGTCCCTACCGTAGATTCAAGTACAAGTATTAGCATCAATCGTCCTAACAACGACACTAATATGAAAAAGCAAAGCCATTAAGTTTCATACAAAGAAACAATGTTCACAATTTTCGGTGTTTTTTTTCTTCTTTCAAATTGTGCACGCTATACCATTTGTATCAATGTATCAAAGAGTATTTAAAGTTAATTCAATGACGTATTGACAGAGGTGTTGGTACTTGTATATTTTAACTACGTCTGCCTGGACAGTTTTCATAGATTTGTGAGTAAAATAAATAAGGCGGAGCTAATCTTTTATTATACAACACTTTCGTCACCTTTTAATTGTTTCATCAGGTAAACGAAGAAATATCTCTGCCTTGAATAGCAAATTTCAAATTTGCCGTAAATTAACTGCTCTTTTTTATGATTTTTTAAGTTGGCAGATAAATCAAATGGACATATAATAAGGTAAGAAAAGTTGTCCCCCTTCCCAAGAAGAATATTGCCGAGTCTTAAAAATACGATAAAAACTTAACTCTTAAATGAATAATTAATTTTGGCTTATCCACCCCTTAACTTAATAACGATAGTACGTGGCTTATTTTGAGCAAGAAACTTTCACGTGCTATGACCTGAGAATAAAATAGATCTTTTTATGTCCTGGCGAATACTATGTACGCATAATAACCAGTGAAAGATGTAGTTCACATGTCATCCTGGGAGACAGTTTCATCATTTATAAATAAACACCCTAAATTAGTATTCAGTTATTGCGGCATTGTCTTTCAAGTTACACGGTTGGAAGTTGCGGAAGATACCATGAACCAATTCTAGATTCTGCACTGTCGTACCAGACAATATATACACATGATAGTTAAAATAACATTATACCCGTCCAATGGTATATATTGAGTGAACAGGATAAAGTCAAAGTACGTTTATATTTTGCCATTATTCAATTCAATTTAATAAATTACTTCACATGAACGGTAAAAACTCAAATAAACTAAGAAAATTTGTGAAAAATTCCACTTGAATTTACTTAATTGATATAAACTGTTGGTTAATCATGTCAATGAAAGAAATGAGCATAATGTGTTAAAAGATTTCTAAAACATTTTAATCTCCTTTTTTCATGATGAATAGTCCTATGGAAAAATTCAGCAAAATGCCATTGTTTCAGTTGTCTCCCAAAATATTTTGCCGAACTAATTTTATTTACAAGACGATGAGATGCGTTTTATGAAAATAAAATAGAGCACAATTTGGATATAGAAAAGGCAAAGTCGAATAGTTATGCTTTATATATTCTTTTCTTATTATATAACAATATATAAATAATGATAATATACAATTTTCATGTTGTTTTATTGCCTTGAAATTAAGTTTCGACAGTATAAGTACAACTTTTAATTAAGTGTGTTTAAAGTCGTGTAAGTAAAATGTATATTTATAACGATGTTTACGACAAAGTTTTTCAGTACGTTATTGCAATTCATATTCTGATTAAATTTTTTATGCTGATGGGCTACCACAAAGATAGGTATTTTTGCCTTTGATATTCTCATTATTTGTTGAATACGGCGTATTATATAATATACATGACTTCAATGCTAGACTCTATCACAAACAATAAATATCTATTAATGACATTTCTATTTGAACGACGATGATACGGCATTTTATGTAAAACACCAGAAAATCTGCAGAAAATCTATTTCATATTTGACTATTTGGGATTAGACATTAATACACTTCAAAACTTAAGATATAGAAATTAGGAAAGAGACGCAAGGTGCTTTGAGATTAAGGAGTCGCTTGAGGTTGGTAAAGATGTTTAAAATGTCAGATCAGGTATTTGCAATGATGATGTTTATGGAGACTTTGGGAAGATAGACATTATACATATATATTCCTCATTAAATAAAGTTTTGGTCTAATAATATAAATAATCTGTTTTTAATTGATTAACTCAAATGTTAAACTTTATTTTGCAAATATTAGATAGCTAATTGTTTCTTTGTGAAACGTTTCACAAAAATTAATTATTGTTAATTACATACAAGAATGGCAAATCTCCATTTAGAGTAGTTATGCTGAAACCGGTGCTAGGGGGCGTAAACAATGGATTTCATTTTCCAGTATCGTTCATAAAAAGGCTTAATCAAACCAAGCCTGCAACATTTTCAATTTTTGTCGTTTTGGGCGTTAATTAAGGGTTCTGTTTTTTCTATTTTAGATCCTAATAGAAACTAATTAACATATTTATTACCATGTAGTTAAAGAGAAATATTTTCAGAATTATATCGTTTGCAGGGATCCACATTTCACTTCATTCTTGTAGTCTCTACTTCCGTTTGTTGCCCCCTTCTTCTGACCTGTACTTCACGATATTGTACGGACTGCTTTGCATGAACGTTGCTCTCCGTATGGTGTATATAAAAATAGTCAATGTTTAACTATCAGTTTTGAAATTTACAGTTGGTAAAAAAAAGATGTATGTAAATTTTACTCTTGATTTGTGTAAGCTTCTTTAAATTTTAAATTGATTATATTAAAAATAGCATATACATGTAGGTATATCAACAAATGTTTGGTGGTTAGGAATACCCTTATAATTTTGAAATCTTGTTTGATAATTTTCTAAATAGACAAGTTTTTTCTTGTCAGAACATATATGAACAAGTTTACAATAAATACGTACAGTATTACACAACACTCATCCT